AACCCCCGTCCTCCCCTTAGCTCACCATCACCACGACCCGGACCCGGTGTGTCTACAGAGCTCGCAAGGAACGGGCCCAGAAGCGCAGAGAGCACGAGGCTGCCACGCGCATTGTCGCCTTTCTGCGGCTGACGGCCGAGCTCGGCGCCGCACGCGACGCCGCCGCTGCCGAGCTGGCCCACACGCTCGCCGAGCTGGCCGAGAGCTCGATGCCGCCCCCGCAGGTGCTCTTCCGGGCGCTGGGCGCATTTGCTTTGGCGGCAGGCGCGTCAGGCGAACGCGTGGCGCCGTACGCCCACATCCTTGCCCTCAAGGTCGTCAAGTCTATGACCCTTCCCCGACCCGAGGTCTCGCTCGCGAGCTACGCGCTCGATGACACCACGCGCGACCTGCTCTTTGCCCGCCTCGCCTGTCTCGCGCGTTGGGTGGTAGCTACGTTGCATAGTCTTGATCCGAAGTGTTCGGGTGTCCAGGCCATCCTCACCCTCGCACGGCTCTGCGAGAGCGCGCCGCTGCTCGCTGACACCTCGGCTGATTTGCGCGCGGCCTGTGGCCGCCTCGCTGCCGCTTTTGTAGCTGCGCCAGCCTTTCCGGCGCTTGTTGGCAAGTCGCTGGCAGAGCTGACTGAGCTGCACCCGGCGGGGCTTCTTGCCAGCGACGAGCTTTCGCTGGAGGCTGTGTTGGCGGCGCCAGTGACATCGCTCTACACCCCAGTGTCGGCCGTTCAACTGCCGCTCTCCATCGGGCTCGGTGTTCTCGCCTGGTCGTGGGCCTACCCACTCTCAGCGGCAGATCAAGAGGCTGGGGCCGTCCTGCTTGCCACACACGTGCTCGCGGTGCCTGCGCTGACCGCGCGGCTCCCACCGGCACTCACCAACCACATCTCGAGCCTTGTCGCCGCCGACGGTGGGGCCAAATTGGCAGTCCTAGGCTCGCCGACTTGCCGAGATGCGCTGCATGCTGCGCTGGCGCGCGCCCCGGCCTCGGCTGGTGCGCAGCATCTCGTCGCCAACTTGGCGGCTCTGCTCTCGGCCGAGACGCTGGCGGGCCTATCGGCTGATGGCCTCGGTGGCTACCTCACACTCACACACGGTCTTGTTGCCAGCGTCCGTGCCGACCTCTTCCCGACCGCCCGAACGCTCAAGCCTCTCCGCCCACGCACCCGTGGGACCAGCTCTAACTCTGATTCCGACTCTGACTCAGACAACGGCGCGGGGCCGTCCGAGCTGGCACCGATGGAGGTGATCAGCGGTAGCGAGTCGACACTGGCAGCGCTGGCGCCGGTCGATCTTCTCGACGCAGCCGTCCTCCACGCACTCCTCTCCCCAGCGCACGTCCAGGCACTCATTGAGGCCGCTGGTGCAGCCAAGACCATGTCGCAGCTGGCAGTGTGGATTGTGGCGTTTGTTCGCCTCTGGCCTGACGACCGCATCGCGCTCCTGCACACGCTCTGCTTCTCGGCGCCGCTCATCCCGCAGCTGTGGGAGCTCATCACCCACGCCACGCCGGCTGTGCCAGCGACGCTGGCTGACTACGCGGCACAGGTGTGCGGTGGCGCGGCTGTTGGCGATGCGTTCCAGCCGCTCTTCCCGCTCCTCTTGTTTCTTTGCGAGCTTGTGCACTTTGCGCTGCTGAGCGTCGACGATGAGGCTTTTGCGGACGAGCGCTTTGCGGCAACGCTGTTGTCGACTCGGCAGACACTGGAGCTTGCAGGCAGTCTCAAACTTGTCCTCTTCCATAAGCTGCTCAACTCGAGCGGGAAGCCCAGCAGTGACGCCGAGGTGGCGGCTCTCGAGGTCGGTTCCAAGGTGCTGGACGACCTTGTGCGGCGCGACTCGCGGATCCACTTTACGTCGAGCGACGGCGGATTCTGGACGGCGGACACGCTCTCTCGCGGCGCGTTTGCGGCCCAGTTTGTACAGGAGCACGCCTCAGCCGACGAAGCCGAGCCATGGGCGCGTCTGTTTCGCACAAGCGCCAGCACTAGCACTGCGCTCGACTATGTCAAACGGCCGGTCCGCGAGGTGCTGAGCAACCCACGAGTCGGCGCCACCGAGGCACTGCTGTCGGTTATGCCGTACGCAGTCTCATTTGATGACCGGGTCGTCGTTTTCCGACACCTCGTCCACGCCGACGCGATGTCACGGATTCCGCAACGGCACACGTTCTCCGTTCGACGCGACCATCTTGTGCAGGACGGCTACGACGGGTTTGCGCGGCTCGGAGATGGCGTCCGCGACGCGCTCAAGATCCAGTTTGTTGATGTCAACGGCGAGCTGGAGGCCGGAGTCGACGGCGGCGGCCTGTTCAAGGAGTTTATGAACCACCTGGTCAAGGCGGCGTTTGATCCCAACTATGGGCTCTTCTGTGAGACGCCGACCTCGCATCGGCTCTACCCGAACCCGCACTCGTCGTACTTTGCCGCCAACCACCTGGACCTGTTTTCATTCCTTGGCGCCGTTGTCGGCAAGGCGTTGTACGACGGGGTCCTTGTCGAGCTCCCGCTCGCCGACTTTTTCGTCCGCAAGATGCTGGGCTTTTCCAACCACGTCTACGACCTCGCCTCGCTCGATGCCGAGCTCCATGCTTCGCTGATGAAGCTCAAGTACCATGAGCCGGCGTCAGAAGTCGCCGACTGGGGCATCACTTTTGAGCTCACCGACGCTGTCCCGCAGCTCGAGCTCAACACTTCGATCGAGCTTGTGCCCAACGGAGCTAGTGTGGCGGTCGACGGCTCGAACCGGAGCAAGTATGTGTACCTTGTGGCGCAGTACAAGCTCAACAGCTCGATCGCGCGGCAAAGTGCGGCATTCATGGCTGGTATGGCCTCGGTCGTCCCGCAGACGTGGCTCACCATGTTTGCACCGCACGAGGTCCAGATGCTGCTCTCGGGCTCCGAGGCTGGCGTCGACGTCGCCGACTGGGCGGCCCACACCCAGTACTCGGGCGGGTACACACCGTCTTCGCCAACGGTCCTGGCCTTTTGGATGGTTGTTGCCGACATGACGCCCGAAGAGCAGTCAGACCTCCTCATGTTCGCCACCTCGTGCTCGCGGCCGCCTCTTCTCGGCTTTGGCGAGCTCCGGCCCAAGTTTTGCATTCACCGCGCAGGCACCGATACCTCGCGCCTGCCGACGGCGGCAACCTGCATGCACCTACTCAAGCTCCCCGACTACGGTGACGTCGAGCTGCTCCGCGCCAAGCTCTCGTACGCGGTCTCGACCAAGGCTGGCTTTGACCTCAGCTAAACGCCGCGCATCAGCCGACCAGCCGAGGCCACTCTGAATCCCATTGGCTCCCGACCTCACCCCACGACATGAGCGTCTGCGGATTGCCCTCGCAATCGGTCTCGTGGTAAAAGATGATCCGCAGGGGCGGGTACGCTGCAAAGGTGGCCACCAGCTCGCGCATCTCGTCGTCGAGCACGTAGTCGCACCAGGAGACATCGAGCGCGACGAGGTCCTGCCAGCCTGTGCGGAGCGACGGGCCCATGCCGGCGAGCGTAACCTGCTTGCAGCCCTGCAGCGAGATAATGCGCATGCCCTGGCACCGCTGAACAAGCGCCGCGACGCCGACATCAGTCACCTCGTTTGCCCACGAGACGTCGAGCCGGGTGCATGACGGCGCTATCGAGGCGAGCACCTCGTCGGTCACGGCGCTCATCCGCGCCAGATCGAGGACAACAAGCTCTTGCGCTGCCGCCACCAGTGCAGTCAGTGCCGGCGATGTCACCTCTTCACAGCATCGCAGTCGCAGCATGCTAAGGTGCGGACAGCCGTGCGCGAGCGCGTCGAGCGCGGCGTCGTCGACCTCGCTCCATCCGAGATCAAGTTTCTCTAGCCGCGGCGAGACCGCAGCGATGGCTGCGACACCTTCCGAACATACGCTAGTGTTGGCCAGGCCGAGTGTTGTGAGGCAACCGCCGGCGGCAGCCATCTCGTCCGCCCAAGCCACCAGCCAGGCATCGTCGATCCATGCGATAGCGCGGAGCTCGAGAGCAGTGAGATGGGCGAGGGAGCTTGAAGCGAGTGGCGAGTCCGGCAAGAGCTGGACAAACGATGACGCCAGCGAGAGCGAGGAGAGCGGAGCGTGTGTGGCGGCGACAATGGCAGACGCACCGGCGACGTCAAGATAGCGAATGCCACCGAGCGAGAGCGAGGTGAGCGCCGGGGCGCGCTGCACCAGCTTGACGATGGTGGCCACGTCACCGACAGGCTCGTCACAAACACAGTTGATGGCGTCGGTCAGTTCGAGGCCGCACAGTGAGAGGCACTCCAGCTGGCGGACGACACGGGCGATTGCACTGTCGGGCGCGCGCTCCAGCCGCGACACCAGTAGCGAGGCCAGACTTACATCGGCCGAATATCCGAGATCGAGTGCCACGAGATGGGGCGCGAGCTTGAGGAGCGCTGCCAGCTGGTCTTCGGCTAAATCCGAGCAGTAGTACAAGCGGAGCGAGCGGAGTGCCGTCAGCGGCGTGTCAGTAGCAGCAGCAGCAGCAGCAGCATGAAAGAGAGCGGGACCCAAGTCTGAGAACGAGATGTCGAGCGAGACGAGGCCTGGCGCAGCCGGCGACGCCAGAATCGCGGCTAAAACACGGCCAACACCGCCATGAGTCGCGTCAATGTTGGCGAGCGAGAGATGCGCGACGCTGCGGAGCGAGAGCAGCGCATCGGCGAGGCGCGGCGCAGCGGCCGTCGCAGGGTTCGGCGACGGCGCGCCCGAGTACATCCACGTTGTTGTGGCGGCGTGCGAAGCTGCAGTGAGTGGCGCATCAAGAAGGTGCGGCGTTATGACCAGAGACTGCAGCGGGAGCGCGGTGGCGATCACAGCCTCGAGCAGCGGCAGAGAGAGCACGCGGCGCGCGGCAGCCCACTCGACAAGACGGGCGGCGACGTCCGCGGTGAGCGCCCCGGGGACGGCCATAGCGGTAGCCATAGACCGCGAAGCTGGGCCACCCTCCCGAAAGGTGGCGGCGATGGCAGCCATAGCTGCGTCCTGGAGGCATGCCATGTGTCCGGAGGAGTGGTGAGGGGTGTGGGCAGGAGGGCTGGAGGGGTGGGCTGGAAGGAATGGAGGAAGGAATGGCTGTCGGAGGACAGGCGGCCGACACTTGCGCGACACAGCGTCGTACCCGCACCGACCACATTACACCGTACCGCACCGCACCCACACTCCGGGCTCCACCGTCTCCTCCTCTCCTCCCCCTCCCCCCCTCCCCCCTCCTCCACACATGCCCAGAGTGGTCGACAAGGCGCGCCAGGCGCACAAGCTGGCGAGCCATTACGCGGCACTGGCTGGGAAGGCAAAGACAGAGGGCGAAGAGGTGGCTGGTCAGGTGGCGGCACGCAACGCTCCGCTCCACGATGTCTTCTCCCGGCTCTCTCAAGGCACACAGGCCGTGCTCCACGTCATGATCCACTACGGGCACTCGGTCGGCGACATGGAGGCGACGCTGGCCACCTTTGCCGAACTCGTCACCACCATCCGTGGCGAGTTGGAGACCGTACTGCAGGATCTGGCGGCGACCAAGCTGGAGGACGGCCACACAGCCGGGCCTGGCCTCGCCTCGCTCTTCGACTTTGTCGACTCGGACTCGGTCTATGGCTTGCTCGGCGATCTGGACGTTCACTTTGCACACTTGCGCCGGCTGTATGTCTTTCTCAAGCAGAACCTGCGGGTGGTGCAGGGCAAGCACGTCTCGTGCGTCCGAGCCCTGGAGGATTCGTACACGCGCTGGGCCACCGAGTACCCGCGCAAGACCGGGCCCGAGATGCGGACGCTGCTGGCCGCCATGGACGCGGCTGCGGCGACGCTTGCGGCCGGCGAGCTCACCGTCAACGAGCACCTCGCCGCCGTCTCTGCGCCCGATGCCCCGCTGACCGGCGACGCCGCCAAGGCCTCGCACGCCAAGGTCTCCGAAACCGTTCTTGCCATGTACGAGGCCCACCACACGGTGCTCTCAGCCAAGGCCTCGCTTGAGCGCATTCACGCTTCACAGGCCTCGGTCTTCACTGCAGGGGTCGAGCTCGCCGCCGCCCTGGTCGACCTCGAGCCTGAGCTCGCCTCCAAAATCGCGCTGCTCGACAATCTCGAGTTTCAGTTCTCGGACGGTCTGCAGAAGCTCATCGCCACTTACTCTGAGCTGCACCATCTCACGGCATGGTACACCGCCTTTGCCGAGGCCTACGCCGAGCTCGGGACCGAGGCGCTACGAAGGCACGCTGCGCACACCCGCCTTCACGACTACATCGCCTCTGTCAACACCACCCTCGCTGCCATGGCCACCGAGGAGCGGGAAGCGCGCGCGCTATTTTTCGAGAACTACGGCCGCTTCCTTCCTTCGGCGCTCTACACCCACACCGATGAGCCGCAGTGGGGCGTGGTCCAGCTCACCGCGCCTTTGCCGAACCCCGGAGCCGCCAGCGTCACCGAGCCAAGCGATCAGATCGCCAGTGAGCCTGGCAAGGGTGGTCTTGCACTCGCGTCTGCACTCGACCCCGCCGCTGCCGCTGCGACTCTCGTTGCTGCACCAGCATTGTCCGAGTGAATAAAGTGATTTCTGCATCGTGGCGCGGCAGACGGCCGAGTGCGGGTGGAGAGAGCCACCGAGAGCCGAGTGCGGACGGGAGTCGGCGACCGGGCGACGGCGGAACGGCACATTTGTCGCTGAGACCAACATGAACGCCTTGAGCATTGCGCGCAACATGCTCCGCAAGGGGCTGCCCCGCTCGCTCAAGGAGCTGTACTACTCAGGCACGGTCAAGGGAGGACGCTTTGTGGGCAAGGACCAGTTCGGTAACGAGTACTACGAGGACCTGGAGGACTTGTATGGTAGGTACCACCGCAGCGCGAGGGCACTTGCCGCCCTGCCCACCCATGGCCTCCCCTCCACCCCCGCCTCGACCCGCAGCCACCGCCCCTCCCCCCTCCCCTCCGCTCTCTCCCCTCCGCTCTCTCCCCACGGGCGAAGCATGCCCGCCAAAGATGTCGACTCACTGCGTGTACCGAGTGTGGGTGTAGGCAAGAACCGCTACGTGCTGTACGGCAACCCGGCCGAGATGGAGGCGACAGCGGTGCCGGCCGAGTGGCACTCGTGGATGTGCCAGATGAAGGACACGCCGCCGTCGGCTGGCGCGGTTGTCGAGCGCAAGTTCTTCGAGGCCGAGCACACGCCCAACGGGACTGGCACTGCCACCTCGTACACGGCCACCAACTCGCTCGATGGCGTCAAGAACGACACCGTCGAGGTCTGGCGCAAGGACTCTCCCACCGAGATCAAGCCGCGCGAGTACCCGGCCCACTTCTGACTTGCCCCCCGAGCTCCATCGCGTCTCGTCCGCCTCGTCTGTCACCCGCCTCTATGATGGATGATCATAAAGTTGCTTCCGCTGCGGGGATCTGGCCTGTCTACATTTGTGTTCTATCTATCCCCCTTGCGGTTTGCCGCCTTGAGCTTGGCCTTTGCTGCCTTGGGCTTGGCCTGTGCCGTCTTGGGCTTGGACTTGGCTTTGCTCCGCGACTCGATGCCGCGGACCCTGCCCTTGCCCAGCGTGGCGCGCATCGCGCTCGGCACCTTGTGTTGGGTGGCGTCAAACCAGACGGTGCGTGCAGCCTTGTCACGTACGCTCTCCAGCTTACCGTAGGCCGTCAGCCACGCAGCAAACGCGCCTTCTTTCGCCTTGGCCGGCTCGTACGCCTCGGCAAGCTGCATGACCTCGTGCGGGATAGAGGCGACGAGCTTGAGCATCTGCCCGCCCTGCGGCAGCTCCAGCGCTTCGTCGAGGGTGATGAACGGCGAGAGACCGGCGCGGTGCATGATCTCGGCGCGCAAGTAGTTGCCGATGCCGTTAAAGTACCGCTGGTTGAGCAGCGCGTCGCAGAGCATCTTGCCAAATGCTGCGGTCCCGCGGCCGCGCTCTATGTTCGCCGCAAAGGCGGCGGGCTCGCGAAGCGGATCAGGCCCGCGCCCGGCGGTCCATGTGGCCTTGGCCTCACCGGCGGCGTGGCACCGCCACCGCGACAGCCGGCGCATATCCTCGAACACCAGGACCGAGCCATCGTCCCCCTCGAAACGCAGGTGCGCATGGCGCGGCATCTCCTCGCCCGGCTCAACAACCTTCCACGTCCCGGTCATGCCCATGCCGACCACCAGCACCAGACCATCCTTGCCGGATGCGGCGGCCAGTGCGGCAATCAGCTCGTCGCGCACACCCGCAGCGGCCAGCGCAGCCGTCGACGGTGCCGGCCCCAGCTCCGCCTCGGCTGCCGCCGTCGCCGCCACTACCTTGCCTAGCAGCGAGCGCGTCGGTGCGGCAGCAAGCAGCAGTTCCTTGCCGCGTGAGACAGCGGCTACGACGCAGCCGGACGCCGTGCCCGGCCGCAGCGGCAAGAGCGGCGCAGGCGACTTGTGGACCGGCGACTTGGTCAGCGCCACCACTCGGGTCCGCACCGCCCACCGGTTGATGGTCTGCGACATGGCGTAGATCTCGGCATGCTCCGGCATGGCTCGGTGCGGCGACTCGTATCCCTCTTGCGGCGACTCGTGCCTACGACAGATGCTGGACACGATGGCTGTTCTCAGCCTTTGCCACTGGTGGAGCAAAGCTGCTGGCAGCCGAGTCGGCGGACCTGTTGCTCTCGTCGTTCCGGCTCAAGTGCGGGCATAGATGCTCCGCCTTCCGCGGACGATGGTCACTCTGCACCGGCTACCCGGCGCCGACATGGGATAACTATTCGCTGGCGGTGTGCTTGCGGACAAGCGACCCGTCGGCTGATGTGGCGGCCTTTGGCTACGATTCGCGGGCAGGCGTGCTCACCCAGCCCGCGCTGTGGTGGCGATCGACGGTCTGGTGCTGGTGGCGGCGGCGGCCGATGTTGCGGCCGTGCTGCCAGACTACCGCATCTTCATTGTCCCTGCTGGTAGTGACCAGCGACATGAGCTGGTTCAACCCGATCCTGATGCGGCCTCCCGACGCCCAGCCGCATGGCAGCCCCATGGCCGGCCACAACCTTCGCCTAGTTCCGGCTCGACATCATGGAGGACGTCACCGAGTCCCTCGCCCAGCACAGCGGTTGAGAGGGCTCACGGCGCGAGACCACGGAGGGTTACATGCAGCGCCTCGGTCGGCATCCATGTGTAGGCGTCCGGCATGGCGGCGTCGACCTCGTCGCGGAACGCGTCGATGATGGCCAGCAGGACGCTGACGGCATCGGGCGGGCCCATGGCCGCCACATCGGCCACCAGCGTGGCACCTACCGCCGAGCCGGTGTAGTGACTCGCCCGGTTGCCAGCTCGGCTAGCGTTGTCCAGGTACTCGGCGGCCGGCGCCGTCGCCTCGGCCACCACGCTTGCCACATGCGCCGCGTGCGCCTCGTCGCTGCACACCATCATAGCATCGGTGCCGTCGGCAGCTTCACCACGCCCCAGCGGCATCCGAAGGCTCGCCAGCCGGGCCTCGGGGGCCAGCGCCCGGTTGCCGTACGTCACCGCCGCCAGCTCGGTCACCTCGAGCTTGAGCTCGGCTAGCGCCTCTGCGGCAGCCGCACCGGCCTCAGTCAGCGCCTCCAGCTGGGCCTCACTCAGTGTCGCATCGTCAGCCAGCGCCGCCAGTGTCGTCTTGGGCCAGCTCGAGCCCGGCGACTCGCGTGGTAGGCCTGGGACAGCGTCGCTCAGGCGCTCCTTGAGCCCCAGTGCCGCGTCCGGGAACGGCGCATACGCAAGGACGAGCACGCCCGACCACGCCACAATGATGTGCTGAGGGGAGAGGACAAACGCTGGCGTCGCCTCGGCTAGCTCGACAAGCACACCGCTTCCAGCCATCGCGCCGTAGCGTGTAGTGTGGCACCTTGACGGTTCAATACATCCCATCCCTCCGTCCAACTCTACCAGAATTGGTCGCACGATGTTCGTCGCCAAATTTGTTTGTTCCCGTGCCACTAATCTCCACTTCTCCTTCACCGCTTTTTCACCACCTCTCCCGCCCCCCCGCCCCCCACCCCCCCACCCCCTACCCCCACCCCCGTCCCTCTCCCTCGCTTCCTCCCTTCTCCCCTTACCCTCCACTGCCCCCCACCCGTGACCCTCCTTCCTTCGTCAACCTCCTCCTCTTTCTCCCCTTTCTCCCCTTTCTCCCAACCCATGTCGCGTGTCTTGGCCTGTTTGGCGTCATTGGCGTTGCTGGTTGCCACTGTTCGGCTGGCAGCCGCCGCCACGTGCTTCGACCTTCCGCCCGTCCTGCAGAACGACCCTGTGCAGAACGAGGCTGCAACAACGCCGTCGGTCGCTGCCATGTCATGGACGCCCAACTTGGTTGCTGGTGGGTGCAATGAGGCGTTGGAGGGCTACATCATTGACCTGGTGTTGCCCTCGCCTATGTCTCCTCTCGCTGCGCTGACCTCCTCGGCTCTCAACAGCTACACTATCACTGAGCTGGACCCTGGCCAGACTGCAGCCGGCTTCTTTCGGCCGTACGGCCAGTGGCCGTCAGACCAGGATGAAGGCAGCGACTTTGACCGCTTTTCTCGGTGCGGAGTTCTTGTCTCGCCGGATCGTACTACGACACAGGAACAACATCGTGCCTGCCGTGTGATGGCGATACCTATCGGGACAACTCTCAGTTTGGCACGCCATGTGTGGCATGTCCGCATGTTGGGAGCGGCGCCACGACGTCAGGCTCTGGAGCAGACGAGCTCGACGACTGCATGTGCCCAGCCGGCTTTGGCCGAACCACGCCCACCGAACCGTGCGTCCAGTGCGCCGCCGGCACCTACCGCAGCGGCTTTGGTAATGAGATCTGCACCGAGTGCCCGGCCGGCACCGACTCTCCTGCTGGCGCCACCTCGCTCGCGCAGTGCGTCTGTCCTGCCGGTGATTACCTCGACGACCCTGGACCACCGAGCAAGATCTGCACCGCCTGTCCGATCGGGACATGGAAGGCTGCGCTGTCGGACGCAACGTCGTGCAACGAGTGCGATCTTGTGACAGAGACAACTGTCGGCAACAGTTCGACGTCTGCAGCTGCCTGCGTGTGCAAGGATGGCTATTTTCGCAACGCCACCTCGGGCGAGTGTGAGCTCTGTCCGCTTGGCAGCTACTCGGACTCGCTCAATGCCGGAAGCTGCACGGCGTGTCCAGAAGGCTTTACCACGCTTGACGAGGGCGCAACCTCGGCTGCTGCGTGTGCGGTGTGTGCGCCTGGGCGGTTTGGTGCCGACTGCAGCGGCCTGTGTGCATGCGCCGACGGGACCCTGTGCATCGACGGCTTGACAGGTTCCGGCAACTGTACCTGCTCGTCCGGCTCGGGACTCTCGGGACCTAGTTGCGACCAATGCGAGGTTACTACCTACTACGGCCCGCACTGCAACATGACGGTCGAGTGCTTCTTTGGCCTGCCCTCGTTTGGCTTTTTGGGCACCGGCACATGCGTGGCGTGCCACGCCGACCGCTACGACCACTCGGCTGACAATCGATGCACGACCTGCGCGCCGAACAACTCTGGGGTCGACTGTCGGACGTGTCTCGCCGGCTCGGGCGTGAATCCGGCCGACGTCGGCGGTTTGTGCACGCCGTGCTCGCCCGGGCGGTTCAACCCAAGCGCACGCATGGGCGCGCCATGCCAGCAGTGCGCGCCGGGCTCGTTCTCAACTCAGCCACGTGCAACAGGGTGCGAGCTTTGCGCCCGCGGCGAGTACCAGCCGTCGCCTGGTGCGGTGGGATGCCTGCCGTGCGGCCTCGGAATGACGACGGGAGCCGCCGGTGCGGCAGATATCTTTGCGTGCAGCCCGTGCCCGGAGAACACGTTCAAGGACGTGGTCGGCGCCGGTGTCTGCCTCCAGTGTCCGGGCAACCAGACGACGGACGGCGAGACCGGCGCAAGCGTGCCCACCGCCTGCGGGTGCCCGCCCGGCGAGGGTGGCGGCGAGCTTGCCGGCGTTCCGACGTGTCTCCCGTGCACACCCGGATATGTCTCGCAGTCGCACGGGACTCAGCCGTGCACGATCTGCCCGCGTGGTACTACGTGGGCGTCGGCGTCGGCCGGATGCCTCCCGTGTCCGTTTGGTGGCTACTGCACCGGCGGCGCGGCGCGCCCTGTTCCGGACAACGGGTTCCATCCTGTGCCTGGTCTCCCGCTATCGGCGGCGGTCTTTGAGCCGTGCACACCGGCCCGTGTTTGCCTCCGCGGCGGGCTCTGCCGGGACGGCCACGGCGGTACACGGTGTGCGTTCTGCCTCGACGGCTGGGTCAAGAATCCGCAAACAGGCGTGTGCGAAAAGTGCCCGTCGTCGATTCCGTACATCTTTGTCGGCATTGCGCTCCTTGGCGGCATTCTCTGCCTGCTCCTGGTCAAGCTTGCCCGGAAGAACACGGCGTTCTTTACCGCGGCCTCGGTCGGGTTCAACTACTTGCAACTCATTGCCATTCTCTCGTCGTTCAACATCAAGTGGCCAAGCTGGACGCAGCGATTCTTTGAGGTGCTCTCGGCGGCCAACATTGACCTGCAGCTGTTCAAGCCCGAGTGTCTGGTCTCCAACTCGTCGGAAGCGTACACCACCATTTGGATCATCAAGCTCTGCGCGCCGTGGTTTTTGCTTTCTTTGTTCCTCATCGGCTTTGGAGCATACAAGCTGTACGCGCAACTCCGGGGCGTGGCGCCGATTGTGCAGGCGTCGATGAAGTACGCGTTCACCAACGCGGCGGTCATGGCCATGTTTGTCATGTACCTGCTGGTGACCAACACCGCGTTGGAGATCTTCCCTTGCACCAAGCAGGTCGATGGCAAGCACACGATGAACCGCGAGCCATCGATTCGGTGTTACGAGGGCAGGTGGAACAAGCTCCTTGCCGGCTCGCTCGTCACCATGATCATGTTCTCGCTCTTTATGCCGGCAGCTGTTGCGTTTGTCCTCTACCGGCGGCGGTTCAACCTGTGGAAGCGAAAGAACCTCTCGCGGTTCGGCCTCCTCTACCTCCGCTACCGGCCGCAGTTTTACTTTTTCGAGATTGCTGTCCTCTGCCGCAAGTTTGGCGTCGTCTTTGGCAAAGTGGTGTTTTCGTTCTCGGTGGTGGGCCAGGTGGTGACCGCCATGTTGGTCGTTTCTGCCTCGCTGATTCTTCAGCTCAAGAGCCACCCGTACGCCACGATGCGGATCAACCGGCTGGAAGTGCTCATGCTCTCGTGCGCCACGCTTGTTCTCACGGTGGCGTTTGGCTACGCGCTCGCCGATGGCGACCTGTCGACGGCGACGGCGACGTTGCTTGGCGTCGTTCTTATTGTAGTTGTCTGCGCCACGGTCTTGGTCATTGTCATCTGCATCATCCTCGAGATCCGCAAGACGTACCGGCTCATTCAGCATGGGCTCGTCGGGCGGTACGTGGTCGATCGGCTAGATGTATGGCAGCCGTTCTTTGATGCCGAGCTGCACTTGCTCTCGCACACACAGAAGCCGGACGAAGGTGGCTCGCAGGTTGCGGGCTCGTCGATTGTGATGACGTTTGCGTCGGAAAAGCCGGTCCAGCTGGTGTGCGAGATCTTCCTCGAGTCTGTAATTACTCGGCGCACAGATGCGTCCAAGGACCGCTTGGCGGCCGACCTGTCGCCGCTGTGGCAGCCCAAGGCACAGCGCGTCGACGTCTCGGCCGACCTTCGGCTGCACACAGTGGTAATGCGTGCGCCGCGGCCCGGGCACTATGTGGCGACATTTGCCGTGGTCGACTGCAGCGATGGCGTTGACGCCAGAGCGCGCCGGGTGTCGAACACGGACATGGAGCGACAGTCGCGCTGGCACAAATGGTGGTCATCGTTTGTGGCGTTTGTGGACGGGTCGGTGACCGACCAGGCACACGCACCGTCGATGGTGCGGGCTATGATGATCGACGGCGCCGAGCGGGTGATCCGGTTCCGGGTCACTGCATCGCCAGAGTGGGAGGCAACCGATGCTATGGTCGGGTCGAAGGTTGACCTCTCGCGCGGCGGCTCGTCGGGCGAGCTTGTCTCGGAGCAGCCGTGGGTCGAGGCCAGCGAGATGCATTCGATCACGACGATGGACGAAGCACAGCTCGACGCCCAGTTTGGCGGCCAGCTCGAGACGTTTGCATGAGTGCGTCACAGGCTGATGTGACTATTAAACCATTTCGGTGTTGCTCGGCAATCGTGGGACGCTGTGGCTGTGTGCGTGTGTGTGTGTGTGTCCACTCTGCACCGTCCAAGACATTTTCGTTCCATTCATTCTGCTGTGACGACGACGGGCGGCTCGGGCGGCGCCTCGTGGTCCTTGTCGTGGTGGTGGTCGGCGTCGATGAAAAGCAGCGGGAACATACCGATGGCGCATCCGATGACGATGCCGACCATGGATGCTAGCATTTGTGTGGTGCGGGTGACGCGGAGGCGGAGCTGGGCAACCGAGAGGTGCGGGTCCTTGAGGCCCATCGAGTAGGCGACCGACTCGATGAAGCCGCCTGAGGCGATGCCCGAGACATCGGCAACCATGTTGCCGAGGGCAGCCGAGGCGAGGGTGGAGATGCCGAGCGACTGGCCGATGGTGAGGTCAACAACTTCGCCCAGCGTGATCATCAGTGAGTTGTCGACAATGCCAAAGCCGACAAACGGAATGGAAGAGCGAAGCGCATGCTGGATGAGCTGCTGGCGGGTGGGCGGTGGGACCGAGGCGTCGCGCGAGGCTGCGCCGCCAGCCGCCGGCTTGGATCCCATGCCGTCGCGTGGGAGAAACTTGCCGCGCGCCTCCCACCAGACTAGGAACTCGTCGCGGCTGATCGAGGCCGACGCGTTGACGTCGGCCTTGTTGAACTCGCGGACAGCCTGCGAGAGAGCCTCGGGCGCCGCGCCGGCGTTGAGCTCCGAGTAGAGCGCCTTAGTCAGGCGCGAGAGCACGGCCGGTGACAACGAGGCAACCAGCGTCGACATGAGCTCCGGATGCGCCTCCAGCTCGCGGGCAACCCGGGCCATCTCGTCGCGCGAGCCCGCGCTCTGTCCGCCAACAGCTGCCGTGCTTGCGCGTCGTCGGGCAGCCGAGGGGCAAGACACGGCGCCGGCGCGGACGAGGGCGAGGGTGCTCCGCAGGCCCGTTGCCCACCGTATGCCAAGCATTGCGGGTGTGGTGAGCGAGTGAGAGAGAGAAGGGGTGGTGGTTCGTGGAGGCTGCAGTGGTGGCAGCCGCAGCAGGGGTGGCTGGTTGGCTGGCTTGTCTCGTGAGGTGGCTTTGACCGTGTGGGACGAGGACAAAGGGTACACGTCTCACGCGGACCATGACTGCGAGTTACGGGTCGTTTGAGCTGCAGGGAGTGCGCTTCTGTATGTTTGTTGGGAAGGAGGAGAGGGTGTGGGGTTGTTTGGGGAGGTTGTTGGGAGGGGAGGTTGTTGGGAGGGGAGGGGGGGGAGGGGGAGGGGGGTCAAGGGTTGTGATCACGATCAGGAACGACAGGGTAGCGGTTGCGGGGAGGGACGGGGGGACGGGGAGGGGAGGAGGAGTTGCCGGGAGGAGAGGAGGAGTGGAGGTGGAGTGCAACGGTAGAAGTAGGCTCCCAGGTGTGGCTGTGGTGTGATGCGGGAGGTGGGGGGAGCAAGGCGAGGGTGCGGGTAGTCCGAAAAAGGTCGTCATCTGGTGCCGTGTAGTCAGCATTCTACTGGTGGTGCAGGGCGGGGGTGGGGTGCTGGGGTGGGGAGATAGGGGCATTGCGGCATAGCGAGAGACTCACTAGAGCTTTGTACGTGTGCGTGGTTGTGCCTGCTTGCTTGTGGTGTGTGATAGTTGTGGGCGATGTTCTGGTGGCGCGTGCGTCGGATGACGGGTCGACACTGCCGTACCTGGGCAAGCTCGTGGCCATCGAGCTCGACGAGACCGGGTCTGTGGCGCTGGACATGCGGTGGTACTACCGGCCAGAGGAGACGCAAGAGGGGCGGCAGTTCCACCACGGCAAAAAGGAGGTTTTCTCGTCGAACCACTACGACCGGGTGTACGTAGAGTCGATCGAGTGCAAGGCGCTGGTTCTTGGCCTTGATCACTACCACGAGCTGCACCAGCGGCTGGCGGCACACTCGCGCGAGCTGGTGCAGGAGGGCGTGTCTGCGGACCATGTGTACTTTTGCAGACAACACTACCGAACGGATACCAACACCTTTGCGCCTGCACTCGACGTGTACTGCTCGTGCAAGCGGCCGTGTAACCCGGACAAGCTGATGATTGCTTGCGACGCGTGTGACGACTGGATCCATGGCGAGTGCGCCGGCCTTGACGACAAGGGTATTGCGGCGCTTGACAACTATGTGTGCGACGCGTGCAAGAGCAAGAAAGCCAATGCTAGCTAGGTGCTGGCAGCATAAACAGGTTTGGAACTTCACTCGTTGTCGTCGTTGTCGTCGTCGCTGTCATTGCCGGCGAGTGAGCAGCAGAACGCACCGCGCGGGCCGATGAACCGCAGCACGACCGGGAGAAGGACAAGACCATGGAGGAGGGCGAGGCAGAGGAGGCCAAAGTACATGTTGAAAAAGTGCGGAAAATGGCCGACTTGGAGAGCGCGAGTGGGAGGATGCCGATGATGGACGAGACAGCGCCAAAGAAGACCGACTTGCCGATGTGAGTGAGGGCAAACGTGGTCCGCTGCAGCCGGTCGACGTTACCTGGGAGGACCATGAAGGCGTGACCAACATGGGCCGAGTAGTCGACGGCAGCGCCGATGGAGACGACAAGATTGATGAGCGAGACTGAGTTGACCTGGATGTCGGCAATGTACATGACGGCAAAGAGACCGATGTCGACGAGGCCGACCATGACAAGGACGACGGCGGCGGTGATCGGGTGCTTGACCATGATCGGGAGGACAATGGCGACGGCGACGGCGGCGAGAATGAGGTTGAGGACGACGCCTGGCACCACAACCTCGTACTGCTCGGTAAAGATGTGTCGCGGGTGGTACGGCAGGATGCCGAGGCTGGCGTCGTCGCAGGCGCGGCGCATGGCGCGCATCGACGCCTTGTCGTCGGCAGTGTCAAAAACGGAGCGTGCCGTGAGCGCAAAGCGGAAAGAGTGGAGCGATGCGTTGTTGGTGGTGAGCAGGATGTCGCGCTCCAGCGAGTTGGTGTCCACAAAGTCGGCGAGCGCGGCGTAGAATGCGCCTTGCGGGATAGGAATGCCCGTTGCCGGATCGAGCGAGCCCGAGTACAGCGGCGACGATGCAGCAAAGGCCTCAAATCGTGGCATCCACGAGCCGTAGTCGCCGAGGATCCATGGCGACGCAAGGAGGCTCGCGCGGAGCGCCATCAGTTGGCGCCACACGCTCGGATCATGCCAAGGGCGCGGCTCGGTGGCGTAGAACTCGACGCGGAAGCCATCAGCGAAAAAGGCCTCATCGGCGTCAAACGCCTCGAGCATGTACGAGCCGTCGGGCACAAGGAGCCGAAAGTCGAGTCCTTCCTTGACTTGGGTGGCGGCAAAGACTGAGAAGATGAACCAGCCGAGGAAGATGAGCAAAATTGCGACGCCGATAGTACGCGAGGTGATAGCCGGCGTGTACACGCGGTCCATAAACTTGGAGATGAGGCCCGGATCGTCGGCGGCAGACGAGTCGTCAGATGCATGGTCAAACTCAGCCTTGTCGGTGGCCGGGAGAGAAGGAAGCGGCGATAGGCCTGTCGCGGGCGGGTTCAGCGGCGAGATGCCCGACGAGGCCGAGGCCGAGGAAGATGAGGTAGACGATGCAGCCGGCGAGTCGTCCGAGCTGCTCACTGGCGGGCTCGACTCTTGTTGTTGTTTGCCGGCGCTCGACGACGAGGAGGACGGCGGACGCGGCAAGGACGACGACGACGACGACGAAGATGGCGACGACGATGACGACGAGGACGACGACGAGGTCGACTCTTGCTGCTCTGAGAGCGCGAGCGAGTGCATACCAATGCCTGGGTCGCCATGAGCAGCGAGCTCGTCCACGGGATCGTTGTAACCGTCGTGAGCGACTTGAGCCGACGGAGTCCGGGCGCACGGGCACCAGTCCCAGCGGCCTGCGTCGATGCGCCGCTCGTCGAGAGCAATGCAGGCGACGAAAAAGGTGATCTGCAGGACCCAGTCAAAGGCAATGGCGACGCAGGCGTAGGAGCAAAAGATGGAGATGGCCGGGATGGGTGAGATGGAGCCGAGGGCAAAGGCAAGGAGGTCGGTGAGCGAGGTGGTGGTGATGGTGATGCCTGCTGTGCGAAGGGCGCGGGCGACGCGCTCGGTGGGCGAGAGGCGGATGCCGCGGACTTGGGCGGCACGGCGCACATCGTCGACCGCACCGACAAGAATAAAGGCGTCATCGACGCCAATGCCGGCAAGGAGGAAGATGAGCATGTTGTTGATGGTGGCGTACTTGATGCCGAGTAGGAGGCAGGCACCAAAGCCCGAGACCATCGAGAGGATGACGTTGAAGACGGCGGCGAGGCCGAGCAGGCCGCGCGAGCGGATCTTAGACAGCTTGCCAAGCGCCAAAAGAGTAAACGCAATCATGAGGAAGATGCCGACGGCAACGAGGACGATGTCACCCGAGACGGCGGACTCGACCTCAAACGAGACCGAGCGGTCGGTTCTACGGGTGACAACAAAGTCGAGGCCAGCCGGAGTCGGCGCGTTGATAAAGGTCTTGAACGTGGCATCGGGCGTCGACTCGTAAACGGCATAAGTGATCTTGAGTGCGCGGGCCGAGAGGATGGTGCCATTGGCGGCGCGGACGACGCCGCCGAGGAGGGTGCTCAGCGCCGGTGCGCCGCCGAGGCTCTGCTCGATGGAGGTGAGCCGGGCGAGCCGGGCCGGCTCGCTGAGGGCCAGCAGCGCATCATACGCCGACGGCAACGGAGAGCCAAACAACGATCCGACCGAGATGGCATCGCAGGGCGCCGAGGGCGACGCCCGCGAGCACGTGGCCTGGAACGAGCCCGACTCGTAGGTGGCGGTGTAGAGCCGCCGGACAGCCTGCAGCCGGGCGGTAGTCAGAATCGATTGACCGGCAGGAACATACAACAAGTACATCATGCGCTCCGGCTGGCGATAGTTGGCCTCAATGTACGCCTTGATGTCCTGTGCCCGCGAGTCGGGCGGCGCGTACAGCTTGGCGCCGTCCGACTCAAACTCGAATGAGGTGATCCACCCCACGATGAAGATGCCGAAGAAGATGACGGCTGCAGCGAGCGTAGCGCACGGCCGAGTCGCCACACGCCGACCGAGACCATAGAAGCCAGCAGCGAGCTTGCGCTCTACCGCTCGGGTGAACCGGAAGAACATGGGAGGTGACAAAGCAAGTCGAGGGTGTTAGGCCTCAGACAGTGACTGCTGACGAGACCAAAGCCGACGCGGTTTTGTGCAGAAATTGGTGCGGGACTTCTTTTCCCGTGGCGTCGGCATATTGGATGGGGGTGACACATCAAGTCGACCTGTAAAGGCTGCAGTGAGGAGCCGAGGAGTGTGTATAGGCAAGCAAAAGGTCCGCTTTCTAACGCCATGGGTGGTGGGCTCAGATCTGGAGTATGCCGTACAGGAGCAAGCCCCGCAGGTAAAAGCCTCTCTCCAGGCTGCCGCGTCAGCCTCGTTCACTCGCACGCGCACCGGGCCGCGACTCGCTTTCGTCCGGCAAGCGACGGCTGGCCACCCGCAGTCTGATCACTGCCTGCACAAAGGGCGACGAGGGGGCGATGATGGGCCTCAAGATCGGATTACTCTCGAAAGCCGACAGCTTGGCGATGCGGCTCGGCCGACGACGGCTTGGCGACTTGGCCGTGGTCAGCCGAGCCCGCGGTGCCCACAGTTGCCCGCGCCGGCCAGTGTGACCTCAGTAGCAGCAAGGTCGAGCGGGCGCGCCCAGGGGAGGCTGACCGAGCGTGGCGCACCGCACTCCTCCCGCCGCTGCTGCGGGCCGTGATAACGGCGGGATGGACGAGCAGAGCACCACGGGCGAGATGCGTGGTATGGACGACTTTAACGCGAGCGCGCGGCGGTACACGAGTGTGCTCATGGCCTCGGCGGCGGCCATGGGTGCCGTCCACGCGTTGCTCCAGGCGCGGATGCGGGCCATGGCCGCCGCCCTTGGCGCCCCGCGGCTACAGGCGCCGTTCTCGCTGCCGTACGCCCTGCTGGTTGTTGTCCTCGCCGGTGCCGTCACAGGCTTTGCCGTCGGTCCCGCCAGGCAGGTCGTCGTGGCGCTGGCCGGTGGCCGGGCCAGTGGCGCCGCGGCGGCGCTGGCCGACGTCGTCGCCGCCGAGGCTGCGCTGGCGTCGGCGGTGGCCATGGCCGGCGCCGGCGCTCTGCTGCCGTTTGCCTACGTCTACGTCGAGGCCGACGGGTGCTGTGTGCGGTCGGCCGGATCGCGCGGGACGGCCGGACGCATCTACGAGGCGTCAGCAGTAATGGTCCTTGCCGCCGCCGCCGCCCTCTCGCTGGCCTTTATGGCTGCCGACGGCGCCACTTCATCCGAGGCCTGGCTCGCGTCGGCGCTACGCGGGTGGACTCTGGCCGGCTCGGCGCTGTTGCTGGTTGCGCTCTCGCGGGGCCTTTGGATGGCTCTGGTCGAGAGTTTGCGCGCGCTCACGACCGCGCTGGTCACGCTCTCGTCGCGACGTGCTCCGGTGGCTCCAGCCGCCGCCCGCGACATGGAGCGTGAGGCGTTGCTGCTTCGCGCAGAGCGAGCGCGGGCGCACGGTGATGAGGCTGCTGCTGTGGTTGCCGAAGCAGAAGCGGCAGCCCTGGCGGCGCCTGCCCGTCTACCGCCATCAGCGGCGGCGGCGGTCTGGGACGGCGCCCTCGCTTTAGGTCACATTGCACTTGTTCTCGGAACCCTTGCTGTGCCGGGTTTGTATGTGGCCCAACTCTCGCTCTACCTCGCCGCGCCCGACATTGACGATCACACGCCGGGCTACATCGAGGCACCGCGACCGGCACTGGCCGACTCGCTGCCGGCACCAATGACCGCGGTTGCTATGCTGTACATGAGCTGGCGGGCTTGGCTCGGGTGCTTTGAGCTCCCGGGCGTGCGGCAGGTACTCGGTGCAGGGCTCGCGCCGGGCTCTGCCGGCCGTGACGAGCTGGACCACGCTCTGGCGCGCGGCCACTCGCGAACGGCAGTCGCCGTCTTTGACGCGGCATACATCAAGCACACTGTGTGCGTGGCGTACGCTGCGGTGCTCCTTTCGTCGGCGTCGATGCGGGTTCCGGCGCTCCTCGGCTTTGTCCCGCTGCCTGCCGCGAGCTCCGCTGGCGAACCGGACGTGCTCTCGGCCGCGGTAACAGCGTGGATCTTCAACCTCGGCTTTCTTGCGTCGATCGTCCCCAACGGCGTCTCGCTTTTCATGCGCTGGCTTCGTGACGTTGTCGACGAGTGACCTAGCAATCCTGTAACCCTTAGCGGGGCGGTCTTTCGGACGCGTTGTCGCGCGTCTCAACGTGAACAACTTTATGATGCTTGACTTTCCGGTGGGAGGCGCGTCTCAACGTGAACAACTTTATGATGCTTGACTTTCCGGTAGGAGGCGCGCCTGCACATGATGGCGGCCAACACGTAGACGCCCGCCTGAAGGATGCCCGAGCTGCCGTCGCGGTGACGACCCCGACGACCGGGAAGGAGAGCATGCCAGAGTTGAACACAGCGGCCAGACGGGAGAGCGCGAGGACGTCTTGCGACGAACGAGTTTGCCGGTCGGCATGGCCGCGCAAGTGGTGGCACACCATCTTGTACGGGATTGTGGACGCCGCGCTCATCAACGCGTACGCGCTCTACGCCGACGCGAGCCCATGCCCCGCCATGACTCGCGTGGCTTTTCTCTACGACATCATCGACGCCGTCGGCTCCGCGCCGTCGCGCAAGTGGAAGCGTCCCTCTGCAGCGGCTGCTCGTCATCACCACTTTTCCCCAACAAGCCGCCGTGGATCGCGACTTCCTCGCCTGCCGGATGAAACAAGCCCACCACTGCCCCTTGGCGACGACATATATGTAGTCGCCTTTTGTTTTCTGTTGTGGCCCACCAGTGGCCACAGCAGCCATCAACACATCGTACTACTCTTCTACGGCGATTGATGGGCGTCGCGACGTCTGTTGAGCATTCCGCACTGTACAGGCCTAACCGCAGGTGCTCACCGCGCCCCGAGCCCGGCTGCCCGTACTACCGCTCTCCGCCGCTGCCACTATCCACCATGGCCATACCCGTTGCCAAACTGGGTGGTGAGCTGGTGCTGGATGCTGAGCAAGTCCTTTAAAATACGGAGCGAGTCGGTAGCGCGCAGGCGTGTAATCGACTCGTCCTCATGCGATGACCAGGGCTCCGCTTGTGGACGCTGGCTAAAGGCCCGGGTTCACCCACTGCGCCGCCTCCTCGACTGGAATGCCCTTGGCGGCTGCGTAGGCGGCGACCTGGTCGTCGCCGACCCGGCCGACGGCAAAGTACTTGGCGTCACGATGCGCAAAGACAATGGCCGAGACCGAGGCAGCCGGGATCATGGCGTACGACTCGGAGAGCGAGGTGCCGATGAGAGCCTCGACGTCGAGGAGCGACCAGAGCGTGGCCTTCTCAGTGTGGTCCGGCTGTGATGGATAGCCCGGCGCAGGACGGATGCCCTCGTAAGCGACCTTGTGGAGGCCATCGGCATCGAGGTCCTCGGTCTCTGCAGCAAAGCCCCAGACGCTGACGTCGGTCCGGATCGACTTGTGCAGCCACTCGGCGCCGGCCTCGGCGAGCCGGTCGGCGACGGCCTGCATGAGGATCTTGAGGTAGTCGTCGCCGTCGGCGGCGTAAGCGGTGGCGGCTTCGTCGGCACCGACAACCGACACCACCATGGCACCGAGGTGATCGCGCGGGCAGCCGTCGTCGCCGGCGGGCGCGATATAGTCACCGAGCGACGCGTACTCACTGGCGCCCTCGGTCTGCTGGCGGAGCATGTGGAAGGTCGCGGTCGGGCTCGCGGCGTCGGTGGCATTGGCGTAGACATCAACGGCCGAGCCGTCGAGCCGCGCGGCGGCGGCGTAGACACCAACGACACCACGGACGGCGACAGGCGTCGGCGTCGAGCCGTCAACAATGTTCTGCAGCAGCGCGACCGCGTCGTCGTGGAGCTTCTTGGCTTCGGCACCGACGCGGTCGTCGTTGAAGATCTTGGGGTACCGCCGGTTCGGGTACTGGCCCTTGAGCTGGAACGAGGAGAACAGCGGATTCCAGTCGATGAGCTCGACGAGCTCGGCGACGGGGATGTCGACCGCCGTGGCGCCGAGCGCCGGCGGCGCCCGCGCGAGCGCGGCGTCAGAAAAGTCGAGCACCGGCCGCTTGCTCACTGCCGTCTCGAGCGAGACGAGCGAGACGTCATCGAGCGACGCCTCGTAGTCCTCCTTGATCTCTTGGTACAGGTCAAACAGATCCTCCACAAAGTCGGGCTTGGACTTGGGGTCCAACAGCGATGAGACAACCGTGACGGCGATCGACGCGTCGAGGCAGTGCACAACCGGCGACGCCGGGCTAGCGTAGTGGCGCGCAATCTTGACCGCCGTGTGGATGCGCGACGTCGTGGCACCGCCAATGAGCAGAGGAATCTCCAGACCCTGGCGCTTCATCTCCATCGCGATCTTCTCCATGTGGGTGAGCGAGGGCGTGATGAGGCCCGAGACGCCCACGACGTCGACCTTGTGCTCGATGGCAGCCTTGACAATGACGTCGGTAGGAACCATGACGCCGAGGTCGATGACCCGGTAGTTGTTGCAGCCGAGGACAACGGCCACAATGCCCTTGCCGATGTCGTGGACGTCACCAGCGACGGTGGCCAGAAGAACGGTACCGGCGTACGACTCGGCGTCGGCGTCGTCGCCATCGCCGGCGGCAGCGGCGGCCTGCGCCGCCGACGCGGTGCCGTCGGCCACCGCTGCCACCGCCGCGGCCTTCACGGCCGCCTTCTCCTCCTCAATAAACGGCGTGAGCCACGCAACGGCCTTCTTCATCACCCGCGCAGACTTGATAACCTGCGGGAGGAAGAGCTTGCCCGAGCCGAACATGTCACCGACGACAGACATGCCGTCCATGAGGTGCGTCTCGATGACCTCGAGTGCCGACGATGCGCCGAGGCGTGCCTCTTCGGTATCGGCCTCGATGTACTCGGTCGTGCCATGGACGAGGGCGTACTTGAGACGCTCAGCGACTGAGAAATCACGCCACGCGGCCTTGGCGGCAGCCGCCGCCGCGCCGCCGCCCGCCTCCTTGTTGGCGCGCTCGGCCTCGGCACGCTCGAGGAGCTTGGCGGTGGCGTCGTCGATGCCGACCTTGGCGCCGTTGTTGAGCACAACCGCCGAGACCAGGTCGCGGAGCTCGGGCTCGATGTCGTCGTACACAGCGAGGTGGGTCGGGTTCACAATGCCCATGTCCATGCCGGCGTCGATGGCGTGGTAGAGAAAGACCGAGTGCATGGCCTCACGGACAACGTTCACACCACGGTAGCCAAACGAGAGGTTCGAGACACCACCGGAGATCTTGGCGCCTGGGCACTGGGCCTTGATCTCGCGAGTAGCCTTGATAAAGTCGGCGGCGTATGAGTCGTGCTCGGCCATGCCAGTGGCGATGGTCAGAATGTTCGGGTCGAAAATGATGAGGTTTGGCGGGAAGGAGAGCGGCGGCGCGGTGAGCAGGTTGTACGAGCGGACGCAGATCTCGACCTTGCGCTCGGCCGACGCGGCCTGGCCCTCTTCGTCAAAGGCCATGACAACGACGGCAGCGCCAAAGCGCTTGACAATCTTGGCCTTGGCGAGGAACTCGGCCTCGCCCTCCTTGAGCGAGATCGAGTTGACGACTGACTTGCCCTGGCAGACTTTGAGGCCGGCAAGGATGACGTCCCAGTCCGACGAGTCGATCATGAACGGGACCTTGGCAATGGCCGGCTCGGTGACGGCAATGCGGAGGAGCTTGGTCATGGCCTTGACGCCGTCAATGAGTCCGTCGTCGACGTTAAAGTCGAGGACCATGGCACCGGCCTCGACCTGTGAGGCGGCAATATCCATGGCCTCCTGGTACTGGCCGTTGGCAATGAGCCGCTTAAACTTGCGCGAGCCGGCAATGTTGCAACGCTCGCCGACGTTAAGAAAGGCAAAGCGCGACTTGTCAACCACCAGCGGCTCGAGGCCCGAGAGCATCATCATCGAGTCCTCGGGAATCGGCTGTCGAGTGCGCGGCGCACCGTTGGCAGCGACCTCGGCAATTGCCTTGATGTGCGCCGGCGTCGAGCCGCAGCAACCGCCAACAAAGTTGACAAGCCCAGCGTCAACAAACTCCTTGAGGTCGCCCGCCATCTTGGCCGGCGAGTCGTCGTACCCGCCCATGGCGTTGGGCAGGCCGGCGTTCGGGTAGCATGAGACAAAGCACGGCGCCACGTCTGACATTCGCTGGATAAACGGCCGCATCTGCTCGCAGCCGAGCGCGCAGTTGAGGCCGACGGCGAACGGCTTGGCGTGCGCCACAGAGGCGTAAAAGGCCTCGGTCGTCTGGCCAGACAGCGTCCGGCCCGAGAGGTCCGTGATCGTGCCCGAGATGATGAGCGGAAGCCGGCTGACACGCCCGCCCCAGTCGTCCTCGAACAGCTCGTCAATAGCGTAGAGCGCGGCGCGCGCGTTGAGCGTGTCAAAGATCGTCTCGACCATGAGGATGTCGACGCCGCCGAGAACCAGCCCACGGACCTGCTCCTTGTACGCCTTGACGAGCTCGTCAAAAGTCACATTCCGCGCCGACGGGTCCTCCACCGACGGCGAGATCGACGCCGTGCGGTTCGTCGGCCCGCACGCACCGGCCACAAACCGCGGCCGCGACGGGTCGGCAGCCATCACCTTCTCGGCCTCCTGTCGCGCGAGCACGGCGGACTGGTAGTTGAGCTCAAAGGCCAGTGCCTCGAGCCCGTAGTCGGCCTGGGCGATCGACGTTCCCGAGAACGTGTTCGTCTCGATGATGTCTGATCCGGCCTCAAAGTACTGCCGGTAGATGTTGCCGATGACCGCCGGCGCCGTCAGCGAGAGAAGATCGTTGTTCCCGCCCAGCTCACTCGGGTGGTCCTTGAACCGGTCTCCGCGAAAGTCGGCCTCTACAAGGTTGGCCTTCTGGACCATGGTGCCCATGGCTCCGTCGAGAATCTACATGCTCCCCACCGCCAACCAAGTCCCCATCCCGCATCGACCCCCCCCCCCCCCCCCCCCCCCAGTCACCAACACAAACATTTCCATAAAGCACTCTGTGAGTGTTGGTCTCCTCTCCCCCTCCCCCCCCTCCCTCCCTCCCTCCCTCCCTCCCTCTCGTCAAGCCCCGCAACTGCCACGTCGCTGGATGGGGATCGGCCACGTGCTGCCGCTGACGCCACCACTCCCACCTACCATGATTCGCTTCTTCAGCTGGGCAGTCAGATACTCGGCCAGATCAGTCTCGCCACGCACGTAGCCATTGCACACAGTGGCTGATGGGACAGGCCCCGCAGGCAGATGGGTCGGCTCGACCGTCCGCACCGAGTCATCAAAGGACGCCATGGAGAGGAGGAGAGAGAGAGAGAGAGAGAAGTGGCGCCTTTGTGCGACTCGCCCCGCCACATAGCCACTCGCCCCACCCACGCCACCCGCCCGGTCGGCCGGCCGGCCGGCCGGCCGCCCAACCACCCGCCTGCCTGCCTACCCACCCACCCACCCACCCACCGGCTATCACACTGCACCCCCTCCCCCCTCCTCCCTACCATGGCCGAAGCGCATGTTGGTCCTGTTCGCAAGGCCCATCGCCTGCCGCTCGACAAACTCGCAGCATACATGGCAAGCGAGGAGGCGCTGGTCAGCGAGGGCTACACAGGCACGCCACTCGACGTGGCCCAGTTTGCAGGTGGGCAGAGCAACCCGACGTACCTCATCCGCAACCCGACAGGCAAGGCCGGATACAGCTGGGTCCTCCGCAAGAAGCCACCGGGCAAGCTGCTGCCTTCGGCCCACGCCGTGGAACGGGAGTACGCCATCATCGCCGCCCTCGCCCCGACAGCTGTCCCGGTCCCGCGCCCGCTGCTCCTCTGCACCGATCCGGACGTCATCGGCACCCCTTTCTACCTCATGGATGCCGTCGACGGGCGCATCTTCCGCGACCCTAAGCTGCCAAGCCTGAGCCGGGCCGATCGCAGTGCTGTCTTTGCCGACATGGCCACCACCCTTGCTGCGCTGCACTCGCTCGATCCCGACGCCGTCGGCCTCGGCAGCTACCGACGCGGCTCGGGCGGCTACATCTCCCGCCAGCTCAAGCGGTGGTGGGGCAACTACTCGCTGGCGGTGGTGGAGGAGACGAACACAGAGCCGATGACCCGCCTCCACACCTGGCTCCGCGCCTCGGCACCGGTCGCCGAGCGCTCAGCCATTGTCCACGGTGACTACAAGCTCGACAACATGGTCTTTCACGCTACCGAGCCGCGAGTCATTGCCCTACTCGATTTTGAGCTGTGGACCATCGGCGATCCGTACTCGGACCTTGCTTACTGTCTCCTACCGTACATCATCGGCGCCGGCGCGCCGTCGCTGCCGGGCCTCGGCGGCGTCGACCTTGCCAAACTCGGCATTCCCTCGCTCGCCGAGTTTGTCGCCACCTACGCTGCCGCCGCTTCGTTTGATGTCGACATCGACCTCCCGTTCTACATCGCCTTTTCGCTCTTTCGCCTCGCCGCCATTGCCCAGGGCGTATACAAGCGATCGCTGACCGGAAACGCGTCGTCGGCCTCGGCCTCGTCATTTGCCGGCGTCTCGGCCCTCCTCGCCGGACTCGCCCTCGCCGTCGCCGACGGCGCCATCCCAGCCGTCACCAACGCCATCGGAGCACCTTCCAACCCGCGCTCACGCTTGTAGCGAGCCAGCACACAGAGTGCTACATGTTGCGCCTGTGGCGCCCTTGCGCGGCCTCATTGCGTGGCCCTCCAAAAAAACCCGCTCAGCCAAACCCCTTCTTCACTCATGCCGGCGGAGAAACAAAACACTCTGCGGTCACTGGCGGCGCCGCCTCCGCCGCCGCCACCTGCACCAACACAGGCACACTCGTCCGCGCGCAGCCATGGCAACCATTGAGAGCCTCACTGCCGAAAAGACCCGGCTCAAGGACGAGGTCAAGCAGCTCAAGGTACAGCCCCCGTCCCGTGCATGCCCCCCCCCTTCCTCCCAGCCCGTCCCCCCTGCCTGTCCCCCTCCCATGGAGGCGTGACCGCACCGAACAGTCGTCCTCTCCCTCCCCTCCTCCCCCTCCCCCGCCCCGCCACTCACCAACACTGCACAAACACAGGCTGGAGGCGCTCCACCAGAGGAGATCAACCCGGTGTATGTGGCATACAAGGCGGTCTCGTCCGAGCTGGCCTTTCTTCTTGCCCACCCTACCCACGACCTGCGCGGCTCGTCGGCAGCCACGCCGCCGCCTGAGACAACGCCGCCGCCGACGCCGCCAGGCCTTTCGGACGAAGCCGTTCGTGTTCACGCGCTCAACGTGCTCTCGGAGGAGAAAAACTCACTCAAGGCCGAGATCAAGTTGCTGAAGGGATCGGGCGCGCCAGACAACGTCATCGCTCCGGTCTTTACCCGCTACACCACAGTCAAGAACTGGCTCGCCGCGCCGTCGTCAGGCCCGCCGCCTCTTCTTGATCACCAGATGCCCGAACCTGAGGCTGTAGCTGAGGCTAGGACACACCCAGCGCTGCCGAGTGTGCCTGTGGCCGGCGACTCGGTCGCATCGCTCGCCGCCAACTCGGAGGCCGGCGACTCGCTTGGCGAACTGCACTCGGTTGCGTCACGGTCGCTCCCGCCGAGTGCCGACGAGGTTGCTGCGATGAAGGCAGAGGTCAAGGCGCAGATTCGTGCTGCCACCGGCATGGGCCGCTCAGACGAGTACATTGCCCCGCTCTACGCCCGCTATCAGGAGCTCAAGGCACTCTCGGCCAACTACTCGAGCGAGGCTGCGACCCAGTTTGCGCGGACGCACCTCCGCCAAGGCCGCCGCGCCTCGGTCGTCCTCCCCTCGCGTGAGCGGCGAAACTCGATTCTGCCGGCTGCCACAGGCGAGACCGATGTTGCCGTCGCTGCCGCGCTCGCCGCGTCGCCGTCGTCGGACTTTCTTCCACACGCCGGCGAGACGCAGGTCGACTCGCCGGTTGCCGAGGTGCCCGACGCAGCACCCGCGGCGCCGGACGAGCCGCCTTCAACAGAGCCTGCGCCTGCGCCGGGAGCGCCGAGCAGCTCGCCACCAGTGCCAACCATCACGCTCGCACCCGAGCTCGGCGATGACGATGACGAGCCTTTGGCGCCAGTGGCAACTGCCACGGTTGTGGCCCTCGACGACTTTACTGACTCGGATGACGACAACGACGACGACGACGACCGGACGCCCAACGATGACGTGGTGGTCAAGGCTGGTGTGCTCAAAATCCGGGTCTCTGGTGGTCTGCTCGGCCGCAAGTGGGCGTCGCGGTGGTGCTCGATGACCCGCGCCGCGTTCCGCATCCACTCGGGCAAGGACGCCAGCTCGAGCGTCGAGACCCGCCTCTCGCTCGCCGGCACGTACACCTCGTTCCGCTCGTCCAAGACCAACAACGAGTTTGCCATCACATACGGCGAGAACCTCGAGAACTCGATCGAGGTTGTTGCACCCGACCGCAAGACCCGCAAGTCGTGGACTACCTTTATCCTCGACGGCATGCTCGCATGGACCAAGATCGTGGTCAAGCGGCTGCAAGTTCCCTCGGCAGCTGCGCCGTTTACCGGAGCCGCCGTCCACATGGGCTGGATGAACGTTCTTGTCCCGCACGGCAAGCGGTGGGCGTGGTCGTGGAAACTCGCGCTCCTCTCCGACGGCGCGCTTTGGCTTCTCAATGCCTTCCCGCTCACCATCGACGAACTCGACGAGGCCGAGGCCGGTGCGCTCAAGTTTGAGCTTGTCGGCGCCAAGTTTGCCCACGTCACCGAGGCGACCAAGCTGACCAAGCTCGGGCGCCAGCACGTTGTCCGTTTTGACGCCGGCGCGTCCGGCCTCTCGCTCCCGCTTGCGCTCTCGACCGAGTCGGAACTCACACTGTGGGGCAAAATCCTGCGGCGGACGTGCGGTGAAGCTCTCGAGGCTGCCCTCTCCACCGCCCCTTACACTGTTTCCGGTACTTGCAACGGCACCGACGGCAGCTCACTTGCCATTGCGCTCGACGGCGTCACCATCGCCGGAACGGCCGTTCCCTGGCGCGCCATTGTCCGCTACGCCGAGTCGCTCGCCACCATCACCATCACGGTCGTCCTTGACATGTCTAATCCGGACGATCGCACCGACTTTATCTTTGAGGGCGACGAGGCCTCGCTCAACGCTGCCTTTAACGTCCTCACCTCGGTCGTCCACCTCGTTGTGGTCCCACGCCAGCGCGCCGCTCGCGCCGCCGCCACCCGCTCGTCGTAAACTTGACCTCTCTCCATCTCCACACGCTTCCATACGATGGACCTTCCCAAGATTGTGCTCTGTGGGGTGGGCAGTGCAGCGATGGCCGAGCTGGCTGAGAGTGCAGGACTTGGCACGGACGCCGTCCACGACGTCGGCGTAGACGCCTGCGCGGTCGAGCTGCCGGCGCTCGCCGAGGTGTGGAACGCGCCCGAGGGCGAGGCGCTCGCAGCGCTTGCAGGCGGCGCCGCCGCCGTCGTCCTCACGTACACGGTCGACGACAGAACGAGCTTCAACGGGTTGAGGCGCTGGCTCTCGCTGCTGGATGCGCTCGGCTACGGCAGTCTCCGCTTCGTCCTTGGCCTCGGCACGGCAGCCGACGTGCCGGCCCACCACGCGGCGCAGCGGGAGGCCTTTCTCGCGCGACGCGGCCTCGCCCACTGTCTCGTGCACGAGAGCCAGGCTGTAGTCGACGGTATTGCCAGAGTGGTTGCAGCCGTCGAGGAGGTGCGGCCGATCAAACGGGCCCGCGGAAGCAGCGGAAGCGTCATGAGCGAGGACGGCGGCGGGGTAAGCGGCGACACGGGCTGTGAGGTCATGCTACGTTTGGGCTTTGCAGGCGATAGACACAGGCGGTGAGACAGTAGATTTACTTCCTTCTCTTCTGCGGCGGACGTGGTGACATCGACGAGGTGACCGACTGGCCGAGGTGTGAAGTGCCTGTGGCGACCGAGGAGGTCGACGAGACGCCCGAGGAGCTTGTGGACGTTGACGTTGACGCGGCTGTCGATGAGCTGGACGACGAGGCTGAAGTTGCTGTGGCGGTGACGATAGAAACGGTGCGTTGGCGAGTCTGACCAGCGACTGGAGAGAGATCGATATCGTCAGAGGCGAGGTCGACGACGTCCGGGTTGGGTGGGCGGCGGGAGCGGCTGCCGGACGACCTGCCAGCACGGCGCGACGAGTTTGCAGATGAGCGGCCGTTGGAGGAGTGCTGGCGGGCGCGGTTTGCCTGACGGGCGGCGGCCTGGCGCTGGCGGAACTCCCAGGCCTCGAGGGCGCGGCGGCGCTCCTCTTCGGCGGCGAGACGGGCAGCCTCGCGCATACGCTGCTCGTGGGCGCGGATGGCTTCTTCGGTGGGAGGATAGTGCGGGGCGTGGGGTTGATGGACGTGCTGGGCGAGCGAAATGCGGCCGACGAGCTCGCCAGGCGCCGGCGGGCCGACCAAGGCAAACATGGGCACCTTGATGTCGTCGCAAGCCTCGGGCACCACAGTGGGAAAGGGGACACATGGAGTGGAGCCGTCATCAGCGAGCATGACATAGTAGACCGGGATGTTGGCCATGGGCCGCAGTTCGCCCTCGCGCAGCACAAAGCGCGGGTCGGCAAACCGGTGCCGTGATCGGAGGAGGATGGCGACGAGGATGACTACAAAGACAAGGAAAAAAGCGACCAGGAGCGGGAGGAGGAGCTGGAACGTGGCTGGCGGCTTGTCTTCGTCAAACAGGCCGGGGCAAAAATGGAGAGTCCAGAACGCCTCGCGGGTCGGGCAGCGCGGGCACGAGATGTTGCGTGGCGGGAGAGCCCCGGGCTCATCGTACAGCGACATGTCACATACAGCACCGGCGTCGAGCTTGGAAAAGGCGTGGACGACGCCGCCAATGATCGGGTCGCCGGCGAGTGCAAATTGGAGCAGAAAGGCCTCGGGATCGACGCCCTGCTCGGCAGAGCAAGTGCAGAGCGACGAGGCGCAGGTGGCGGGCGTGTCGGGCTCGAGACAGTACGGCCCGGCACCCGAGTCGCACTGGCACGTCCCGGCCTGGCATAGCCCGTTAAAGTTGCATGCGTAGCGGCAGCGGGTGGCCTTGTAGTGGATGCGGAAGCCCGGAGCGGTGATGAACTGGTCCGAGTGAAAGAAGAGAGTCAAATACGGGCCCGATGACTGCAGCAGCGGCATGGCCTTGGTCCCCGAGTATGCGCCGAGAAGTGGGGCATGGGCAGCAAGCTCGGTTGCGTTGCCATCGCGCACAAATAGAATGTCCCATCCACACTCGGTCTCAAACTCGATCGACTCGACCACGATGGTCGCCAGCGGGTCGTTGGCCGCGAGCACCCAGGTGCAGTTCTTGTTCTCGGTGTAGTTGCTGTTGGGCCCCGACCCGTCAGTCAGCACACCCTCAACATCGGTCTGAAGGTACCGCGTCTGCAGACCAGAGCACTGCTGGCCCAAGCACGGCCCTGCCGTTGCCAGGAGCACCAGGAGTACCGTGGTCGCCAACGCCACCAGACCGGGCAATGTTAGCGGAAGGCGGACCGGCATGGAGGGGGGGAGGGGGGAGGGGGTGGAAGGGGGTGGGAGGGGGTGGTGGTGGTGATTGAAAGGAGGTGGGTGACCTTGGGGAGTGGTGGTGAGTTGTGAGAGCAAAAGGGAGGAGGGAGTGCGGGAGGCAGGTGGGTGGGCGAGGTGGGGTGGGAAGGAGGGAAGGGGGGGGGGCCGCAAATTACGAGGTCGAGAACAATTTAGGACTTGCTGGGGTAGTAAGGGGCAAAGGCGTTGCTTGCGTAGCCACTGTTCATTGGGGGGAGGACAATGGTGGGAGGGGATGAGGACTCATGCATAGTACTCAAGCTCGGCCTTCTTGCGGGCCTGGACGACTGCGATGGCCTCGACAAAGTCCTCATGGACGATCTCGGTGCCCTCGCGGCGGAGGGCAAGCATGCCGGCCTCGACGGCGACGGCCTTGAGCTGTGCCGAGTTGAAGCCCTCGGTGGAGCGGGAGAGCTCGTCGTAGTTGACATCGCCGCGAACGTTCATCTTGCGCGAGTGGATCTGCAGGATGGAAGCGCGGGCCTGGGCGTCCGGGTGCGGGAACTCGATCTTGCGGTCGAAGCGGCCGGAGCGGAGGAGGGCCGGGTCAAGAATGTCAATGCGGTTGGTGGCGGCAATGACTTTGATGTCATCAGCGGCGGAAAAGCCGTCCATCTGGTTAAGGAGCTCGAGCATTGTCCGCTGGACCTCGCGGTCGCCAGAGAGCTCCGAGTCCTGGCGCTTCATACCGACGGCGTCGAGCTCGTCGATGAAGATGATGGTGGGCGCCTTTTCCTTGGCAAGGGCAAAGGCGTCGCGGACAAGCTTGGCGCCGTCACCGATGAACATCTGGACGAGCTGCGGACCTGCGAGCTTGAGGAAGGCGGCATTGGCCATGTTGGCGCACGCCTTGGCGAGCAGGGTCTTACCAGTGCCCGGCGGGCCGTAGAAGAGCACTCCCTTGGGCGGTTGAATGCCGAGGGCAAGGAACTTGGCCTTCTTGTCCTCGTGGAACGGCCAGACCACGGCCTCGCGCATCTCGTCGATCTGGGTGTTGAGGCCGCCAACGTCGGCGAGTGTCTCCGACGGCGCCTCGTCGAGCTCCATGGCCTTGACCCGCGAGTCGTACTCGGCAGGCAGCTTCTCCAGAATGAGGTACGAGTCTTTGTTGACGCCGACAAGGTCACCCGGCCGCATCTCGGCTGGCGGCACAAGGCCAGCAATCGGGAGGAAGACAGTCTGCCGGGTCGATGTCTTGATCACCGCGCACTTGCCCTTGCGCTGCGAGTCCAGGTCCTGGTTCGCCCCATCCTCCTCCTCCATCTCCTCGGGGTCGACGTCGAGCAGCTCCACAACCGTCGAGACCAGGTACGGCAGCGCCTTGTTGCGCTTCACCTTGGCCACGTTGTCCTCCAGCTGAGCCTTCATCCGCTCCAGCTCAAACCGCAACCGGTTGGCGTCGGTCTCCATGATCTGCACCTCGCGGTCGAGCATCCGCGTCCGCGACTGCACCTCCTCCGCCGACATGGTCAGGATCTCCGGGTCGACCTCGAGCGCCGACTGCACCCCGCGCCCACCACCGCAAGCCACAGCCACACAACCAGCCGAGCACATCCCGTGAGTTGTGCACTACTTCTTGCTCACCGCCAAGGCAAGAGCTTCTGCCGACACACTCTCTCTGCACCACTACAGAGCTGGCTCTCCACCAGAGCGACCGGCGCAAGGCCAGCGGAAAAACCGAGGACCAAGGCGACCTTCTACCCAGCGGCGCGACCAAGGGGGGGGGGGGGGGGGGGGGGCGGCCTCCACCACTCGGGACACAACGTACAAAGGTGGCATCTGCCTCTGCAAGCGTCGACATGCGGGGCAGTGTCGTGCAGAGTGTGCGAGAGAGAGATGGCTGGCGACGAGGATACAGGCCTGGCTCGACAACGAGGGCGGCCGAGAGCGCGCTGTCGACAGGCGAGCAAGTTCGGCGGTCAGCGAGCGGGCGACCAGCCGCCGGCAGGCAGTCGGCGGTGTGTTGGTTGCCCGCTGTTTGGCTTCAAAAAAATAATAGGAACGTTGGACGAAGGCGACCGATTCAGGAAAGAGTGGCTGGTGGCGGGCGGGAAGATGAGGGAGAGCGCGACTCGAGGCAATCCTTGCGAAATATTGGGCAGGAAGCGGGCAACGGGCAGAGGCACGGGAGGACGGACCACACAACTACCGAACATGAGCGAGGAGACAGTGACCAACGGAGCGGGTGCGGGTGCCGAGGCAGGGGCGGTGAAGAGCGAGGCTGGGGCTGCGGGCGCGGTGGAGGCTGGTGTGGTTGAGGCAGGAGCGGGTGCAGCAGGAGCGGCAGTTTCGGATGGTGGCGCCCAGGTCGCCGAGGGCGCAGCAGAGAGCACGGGCGCGGGCGCGGGCGCGGGCGCGGGCGCGGGCGCGGGCGAGGGCGAGGGCGAGAGCTTGAAGCGCAAGCGCGACGACGACGCTTCGGCGACGACGGCGGCGGCGGCGGCGGTGGCGGCTCCGGCCGAGGCAGCGGCTGTTGAGGATGACGGCTACGGCGACGAGCCTGCGCCAAAGCGGGCGCGCGGCCTCGAGGCTCCGGCTGCGGTGGCGGCTCCTGTGACGGCGGCAGCTCCGGCTCCTGCGGCAGCGGCAGCTCCGGCTCCTGCGGTGGCGGCGGCTCCTGCAGCGGCGGCGGCTCCTGCGGCGGCGGCTCCTGCGGCGGCGGCTCCTGCGGCGGCGGCTCCGGCGCCGGGTGCTCCGGTGCAGCAGCCTGCGTATGGGTACGCGCAGCCTGTGGCTGCGGCGCCGATGGCGCCCGTGGGCGGCCCGAACGCGCACGTGCGGTGCTACTCGTGCGGCGGTTACGGACATTACGCACGCGAGTGCCCCGCACAGCAGCCGCAGGCCGCCGGCGGGTACGGCGCCCAGGGCTACGGCGCGCCGGCGGCTGCCGGCGGGTACGGCGCCCAGGGCTACGACCAGTCGGGCTACGGCCAGCAGGCGGCCGGTGGTTACGGCCAGCAGGCGGCCGGCGGTTACGGCCAGCAGGCAGCTGGTGGTTACCAGCAGGGCGGTTACCAGCAGGGCGGATACGGCGGCGGGTACCAGCAGGGCGGTTACGGCGGCGGGTACCAGCAGGGCGGCTACGGTGGTGGGTACCAGCAGGGCGGTTACGGTGGACAGGGCGGATACGCCGCTCGTAACCCGCATCTTCCGCCCGACCGTGGCTGCTTCCGCTGTGGCGGCCCGCACCTGGCCCGCAACTGCCCTCAGTCGGCCGCGCCCGGCATGGACACTTGCTTCCGCTGCGGTCAGCCCGGCCACCGCGCCCGCGAGTGCGGCGCGCCTGACTCGCGCACCTGCTACCTGTGCAAGCAGGTCGGCCACATCTCGTCGCAGTGCCCGAACGGTGGCGCCGCTGCCTACTAGAGCTGTTGCGCTGTTGCATCGTTGTCGCACTTTTGCTCTCCCTGCCACTCCCCTCACTTTGCAGAGGGAGGCGGGAGAGGGAAGAAAGTAGAAGAGGTTAGAAAGTATTGAAGTCGCTATTTGATGTGTACACTCTTGACAATAGTGGTGGAGACTCGGCGAAGGCTCGCCCCCCTCCCCCCATTCTCACTTTGCTGAATGACTACCTCATTCGGCCACACCCGACTTAGACCACTCAAATGGCAGACGACAAGACGCCGGCTGCCGGCGGTATTGGCGAGGCCTTCCAGGAGATTTCATTGGCCGATCACACACCCGAGCCGCTCCCGGAGCAGTCTCTGGACAACCTGGACATTGTACGTGACCAAGAGTGCCTGTTGCTTCCTGTAGCACGCCGTGTGCCTCCCGCAGCGAGTCGGCAGTGTTCGAAGAGCCGGCTCGCCTCGCCGAGGCAGCGCTTGTCCGCTCGGCTGCTGTTCATCCTCATCCACCAACTCACCGCCCCCCCACCCCCACCCCGGCTGCTGCACCGGTACCGCACAGGAGTCGCTGACGCCGCTCACCCCGGACATCATTGCCCGCCAGGCCACCATCAACATCGGTACGTGCTCTTACCCTCGGCGCCTTGCCATGGCACACCTTGGGCCGCCACCAACTCCAATTTTTGTGTGACTGCCTCTGCCTCGCAGCCCCGCCGTCATCGTGCCCATGGAGCTTGGCGAGCCAGGCCCTGGTGGGACAGAAGCGACCAGAGAGCCTTGCTGCATGGGCTTGTCCGCGGCAGGATGGCGAGGGGGAGAGGGGGAGGGCGCGGGGGCTCGAATGCAGCGGACACTCACAGCGGCGCGGCGCGAGGACAGGAACGATTGGGCATGTGGCCCACGGCAAGTCGACGCTCGTCAAGGCCATTTCGGGCGTGCAGACTGTGCGGTTCAAGAACGAGCTCGAGCGCAATATTACGATCAAGCTTGGCTACGCCAACGCCAAGATCTACAAGTGCGAGAACCCCGAGTGCCCGCCGCCCGGCTGCTACCGGTCGTACAAGTCGTCGCACGAGATCTCGCCGCCGTGCCGCCGCCCCGGGTGCGGCGGGCGGATGGAGCTGCAGCGGCATGTCAGTTTCGTCGACTGCCCCGGCCACGACATTCTCATGGCGACGATGCTCAACGGCGCGGCGGTGATGGACGCAGCGCTCCTTCTGGTGGCGGCCAACGAGTCGTGCCCGCAGCCGCAGACCTCGGAGCACCTTGCCGCCATCGAGATCATGCGCCTCCAGCACATCCTGATTATGCAGAACAAGGTCGATCTGATCAAGCAGTCGCAAGCCGAGGAGCAGCACAAGCAGATCCAGGCCTTTGTGAAGGGCACCGTCGCTGACGGCGCGCCGGTCGTCCCGATCTCGGCGCAGCTCAAGTACAACATTGACGTGGTGTGCGAGTACATCTGCACGCGCATCCCGGTCCCAGCGCGCGACTTTACCTCTGCTCCGCTCCTCATCGTTATCCGCTCGTTCGACATCAACAAGCCCGGATGCGCCGTCGACGAGCTCAAGGGTGGCGTCGCCGGTGGCTCAATCCTCAAGGGTGTGCTCAAGGTCGGCGACGAGATCGAGGTCCGTCCGGGCATCGTCTCGAAGAACGCCGAGGGCCAGGTCCAGGTCCAGCCCATCCTCTCGCGCATTGTCTCGCTCTTTGCCGAGCACAACGACCTGCAGTACGCCGTGCCCGGTGGCCTCATCGGTGTCGGCACCCTCATCGACCCCATGCACTGCCGCGCCGATCGCCTCGTCGGTAAGATGCTCGGCGCCGTCGACCAGCTGCCGGCCTGCTACGTCGAGCTCGAGATCTCGTTCTTCCTCCTCCGCCGCCTCCTCGGCGTCCGCACCGAGGGCAAGGCCAAGGGCTCCAAGGTCTCCAAGCTTGTCAAGGGCGAGGTCCTCATGCTCAACATCGGCTCGCTCTCCACCGGCGGCCGCGTCACCGCCCTCCACGCTGATCTGGCCAAGGTTGTCCTCTCGGCGCCCACCTGCGCCCGCATCGGCGACAAGATCGCCCTCTCCCGCCGCCTTGCCTCGTCCTGGCGTCTCATCGGCTGGGGCACGGTCAAGCGTGGCAAGGAGCTGTGAGGCATGGCAAATAACAACAACAACAACCAACAGCTCCAACAGCATCATGCGCTCGTACCTGAGGCTCAAGTCGGGCTGCGGTACACTACTCAGCCGACAAGGCCACACGCGACTCTCACATCATTCTCACCCCCACCGCAGCCCGGGACGCCGAGGTCGCCCGGGCCCGGGCCCGCACACGAGCCCGGGCCCGGGAAGCCGGGTGGGCGTCGTGGGCCGACGCTACGCTGGCGCCGCGGCTACAAGCCTGGTGCGGTCGCAAGGCGTGCGGGGTGCTCGCAGTCGCCTTTGCACTCGCGGTGCTGGTAGCGGCCGCAACGAGCGTGCTGGCGCCTGCTCTGGCACGGAGCGTGGCTGCCGCGGGCGTCGGGCACACCCACATGTTCCTTCCGCGGGTGCTTGGCAAGGCGCCAGCCTATCTCGGGCCATCGGTCGAGGCGCTGGCGGCGCAGACTAGCCTGCCTGCGTCTGCGCTGGTGGAGCCGATCCGAGTCGTTCGGGTTCGGTCGCGGTGGGACCTGCATCCGCCGGCGATGTGGCTCGGGTGGGGCGAGAGCGCGGCCAACTCATGGGTGAGCGGGCGGCACGGCGAGCGCCGGCGCGGCGTCTTCCTTCCGTGGCTCTCCGCAGAGCTCACCCGTGCACCTTGTCCAGTGATGTGCGAGGTGACGAGCAACGGCTCGGCGATCGACGACGCCGACGCTCTAGTGTACGAGCCGTCGAACGCACAGCTTTGGTTCGGCCGCCACTGGCGAAGGTATCCGCTCGACTTTCCTCAGACGCGGGGCACCAAGCCGTGGCGCAAGACCGTCGCCGTTGTCTACGAGGTGCCGTCGTCGTTCGACTCGGTCGCCAACGTCTCAGCCGAGTACGACTGGCTGGCAACGTATGCGCTCGACGCGCAGCTCCCGATCTCGCTCTTTTGTGGCTTTGGCTACGCGTGGCAGGACTTGTTTGCGCCGACAGCCGGGACGGTGACCGGCGCGCGCCCGCTGCCGGCGCTGCGCCCGCTGCGGGCCAAGATTCCTGCGGCAGTCTACATTGCGTCGAGGTGCTCAAGCGCTGATGCTCGAGCGCGCGACGCGTACGTGGCGCAGCTAGCGCGCTGGTTTCCGGTCGTCTCGTTTGGTGAGTGCCTACACAACGCAGATATGCCGGGCGAGCTTGCCGGCGGAGGGCAGTGGCCGCGCCCGTGGCATTCGAAGATTGCAGTCCTCTCGCGGTACGCCTTCTACCTCGCCTTTGAGAATGCCAACGTCACCGACTGGATCACCGAGAAGCCGATGCACGGTTGGCTCGCCGGGACCGTCCCGGTCGTCATGGGCGCCCGCCTCGAGCCGCACTGGTCACCCGGCGCCGGCTCACACATCCACGTCGCCGACTTTGACTCGCCGGCCGCGCTCGGGCTCCGTCTCGCCGCCATCTCCCGCAGCGAGGCAGCTTACAACGATCACTTTGCCTGGCGGCAGCGCCCGCCGCCACCTGCCTTTGTTGACCGTGTCTCTCAGTGCGCCTTCTACGCCGATTGTCGCCTCTGCCTCCAGCTGGCGCAGGCGCGGCACGAGTATCGCCTCGCTGCCACCCGCACTCGACCGCCCAACGCTGGGAGTGGGCGCGGGCCGAAGTTGACGTGACCTGGCCGGACGTGGCCACACCTCTCCCACAAATCTACAATGGCGATCCAGCGCGACAACACCATGGTTGACACCGTCAAGGCCTCCAAGGGCTTCCTCAAGGACAACAAGTCTCGCGGCCGCACCCGCCAGCACGACCGCCGTCGCCGCAAGCCGACCCAGTCGTACTCGTCGTACATCTACAAGGTAGGCCCTTCCCATCCCCCGTGTGCCTGCCCGTGCCTGGCGGTAGATTCCTCGGGCACTGTCCCCCGCAAAAAAACGCGCCAACGGTGGCGCCACAACCGGCAACCCTCGAACCGTCCAGCATGCGTCCCCTCTCTTCCTGCACCCACTTTCTCTTCCTGCACCCACGTGTGTGGACTAACACTCTCCCTCCTTCCCTCTGCCCTTCCATCTCTCGCTTGCACAGGTGCTCAAGCAGGTGCACCCCGACACCGGCATGTCCCGCCGCGCCATGTCGATCATGAACTCGTTCGTCAACGACACCTTTGAGAAGATCGCCCTCGAGGCCTCGCGCCTTGCCAAGTTCTCGGGCAAGCAGACCATCACCTCCCGCGAAATCCAGACCGCTGCCCGTCTCATCCTCCCCGGTGAGCTCGCCAAGCACGCCGTGTCCGAGGGCACGAAGGCTGTCACCAAGTACACCACCTCGACCGCCTAAGCGCAGTTCGATGTCCGGCGTACGGTTTTGCTCCCCCCCCCCATCCTTCTCATGCAGCTGTAAAGTACTCTCGCTGCGTCTTCCTGCGCCCTATGCCTGCCCTACATGCGCCTTGCCTCTGCCCGTCCACATGTTCTGCAACTGAATGGCGACCGACCTCCAACCCAAACCCAAACCCAAACCCAAACCCAGACCGAAACCCAAACCGAAACCCAAACCAAGGTACCACCACCACCACCCAACCTCAGCCCCACACCCACACCACACCCACACCACACCCACACCCCACACCACACATCCCACACCACACCCACACCACACCCACACCACACCACACCACACCACACCACACACACACACACGTATGAGCAAGCGCGAGAGAGAGTCGGACGACGACGCGACAAGCCCTCCGTCCAAGCGGGCACGGCCACTGGAGGACGGCCCACCTCTCGGCTCGGACGACGACGACGACGGTGACGATGACACCGCGCTGAACCCAAGCCTTGATGACGACGACGACAACAACGATGATGATGACGATGATGACGACGACGACGACGACGACGATGACGACGACGACGACGATGATGACGACGACGACGACGACGACGACGACGACGAGACAGCGACTAGGCCGTCGGCCCGGCAGGTCCGCTTTGAGGCGCGCGAGGCACACGAAGACCGGAGGAGTAAGAAGAAGAAGAAGAAAAAGAAGAAGAAGAAGAAAAAGAAGAAGCGCAAGAACCGCTGGGGCTCGGACGACGACGACGACGCTGCGCTCTCGGCCGTCCAGTCGCGGCCGAGACGCCAGGCACGGCGGAACGTGTCATATGCCGGAAACTCGGGCTCCGACTCGGACCAAGACGAGGACGAAGACATGGAGGCGCGGATGGCGGAATGGAGCCGACAGGCCGACGAGAACACCGAGCGGTTCATGCTCCTGCAGCAGTTCTCCGACTCTCAGCTCGCCCGCTACGAGGCCTTCCGCCGCTCCAAGCTGCACCAGTCCAAAGTCAAGCGCATCATGGGTTCGGTCTACTCGTCAACCATCCCTCCGGCGGCCTCGATCATTGTCGCAGGTATCACCAAGGTCTTTGTGGGCGAGCTCATCGAGACCGCGCTGCACATCCAGAACGAGCTCGGTCAGGGCACCAACTTTGACGACAACTCTCCGGGCATCCCGCTCCTTCCCTCGCACGTTCGCGCCGCCTATCGCCGCCTTCGCGCCAAGGGCGCAGTCCCGCCGTCGACACTCGCCGTCACTGCGCCCGCTGCCCGCGCCCGCGCCAAGCTCCTCGACTAACCCCCTACCCCCCCCCCCCCCCCCCCCCGCCCCCCCTCACTGCCGCTAAACAAACGTTGTCAACAAATGGGAGTGCCACCTGGTCGGTTCTTGCCACTGCGGCCTGCCTCAGCCACAGCCGCACTGCCACGCCAGCCACCCCACTGCGTAGCCGCCTGCCATGTCGTCCTCCGGCCTGCTCTACGCAGACGACTCGTACGACGAGTCGTACTCGTGGATGTACTTTGCCGAAGACCCCATGCTTGCCTCCTTCTCTGCGTACGCGCCCTTGTCCAGCCTGCTCCTCCCGTGCCCCTGACCCCCCTCCCTTCACCCTCTTCGTCTCCCCCCTGACCCTTCGGTTTCTGCTGTTGTTCGCTGCCATTTTTTCACTGTTCCTGCCGCCTCCCCTCCCCCCGCCCCTCCCCCTCTCTTTCCACCTGCTCCCCACCTCCGCACAGCAGTACACCCTCACACCCCATCTCATCCCCTGACTCTTGCCTATAGCTCGCATAACGAGTCCAAGAAAAAGAAGAAGAAGAAGCGCCGGAAGCACAGCTCGTCCACTGCCGCCGCCGGCTCGTCGGACGCTGACTCTGCCGCAGGCGCATCTTCGGTTGACGCGGCTGCCGTGGCTGCTGCGACCGGTGCGTCGCCGTCTTCGCAGCACTCGGTCCACAAGGTCACCACCGTAACCACCGTTACCGAGACCGTCGAGAGCCATGCCGAGTCTGGATCTCGCAAGCACCGCAAGAAGAAGAAGCACCGCGCTGATCCGAAGCCGGAGGCCGAGCCGGTCGATGACGTCCCGCGTGCCACGTCGCCCAAGCGCATGCGCAAGCGCAAGAAGCGACCGGAGGAGAAGGCCACCGCTCTCGCTGCTACCGCTCTCGCTCCCGAGCCTGAGAATGAGACTGAGGCTGAAGCCGAAGACTCGGCGCCAACCGCCGATGCCGAGAGCTCGCGCAAGAAGAAGCGCAAGCACAAGTCCCGCAAGTCGTCCGCTGAAGACTCGTCAGTCATCACCAGCACCACCACCAAGACCACCGAGGTGCTCACGACCTCATCTGCCGCCGCCGCTGCCGCCGCCAAGCCCGAGACTTCCGAGCCCGAGTCCGAGTCCAAGAAGCGCCGCAAGAAGAAGAAGAAGCATCGCCACGCCGAGCCGGAGCACGCTCCCGAGCCCACACCTGAGCCCGAGACTGCCGAGGCCGAGTCCGAGTCCAAGAAGCGCCGCAAGAAGAAGAAGCATCGCCACGCCGAGCCCGAGCACGCTCCCGAGCCCACACCTGAGCCCGAGGCCGAGTCGGCATCGACCAAGTCGCGCAAGAAGAAGCGCAAGCACCGCTCACACGCTGCTGCTGACGCCGACGCTGCTCCGTCACCGGCTTCAGAGATGGTCGAGACCGTGACCACCACCGTGACCACCGAGGTTTTGAGCGACAGTGGCGACGGTGCGTCACCGGCGTCATCCAAGAAGAAGAAGAAGAAGCGCCGCCATCACCGCTCGGCCTCGGCCTCGGCTTCTGACGACGGCTCGACCAAGCGCCGCCGCCATCACCGCCGCCACCGCTCGACGCCATCCGACGACGCCGCGCCGTCGCCCGCTGCTTCGGCCTCGGCCACCAACGACGACCTCAGCTCGTCCAAGAAGAAGAAGAAGAAGAAGCGCCATCACCGCAGCCACCGCTCCGGCGCAGGCGCCTCGTCCGTTGACGCTTCGGCCGAGTCGGATGTTGAGTCGACGTCGTCGACCCGCCGCCGCCACCACCGCGGCCACCGCAAGCGCAAGGCTGCCGCCGCTGCTGCTGCTGCTGCTGCTGCCGAGGCTGCCAAGGCCCCGGCCTCGCCGGCCTCCTCAGCCTCATCGCCGGGCAAGGTCACCAAGAAGACCGTTGAGACTATCACCACCACCGTCATCCAGACCGAGGATGGTGCTTCTGTCTCGCGCCGCAAGCGCAAGAAGAAGTCATCGGCCAAGGCTCCGTCGCCCATTCCGGACAATGCCTCTGCCGGCTCGCCCTCCTCTTCGCGCAAGCACAAGAAGCGCCGCCATCGCTCCTCAAAGGCTGCATAACTTGCCAACTTGTAAACGTGGACCACCTCGCATGCGCCGTGTTCCTATCACTTGTCGGTTCACTTGCCGCAACATACGCCCGCTCGCCACCTCACACCGCACGCGCACGCCTCTCTCCTCCAACCCACCTCCTCCAACCCACCTCCACATAACCACATCCACCTCGGCGCCCCACATGGCAAGCCACGAGGGTACGCGTCCCCCCCCCCCGTCCCTTCCCCACTGCACCCCCCCTCCCCCTCCCCCTCCACTCACACTCGCCTCCCCAAACAGACACCCGGCAGGAGCTCCTGACCAAGCTCAAGGTGGCCGTGGACATTCTGCTGGAGGTCGGTAGCGACGGGACCGAGATCACAGATGCTTCACTCGAGCTACGGTACTTTTGCCAGGTCTTTGAGGACATTCTCCGCTGTGGCTTTCGCGTCAAACGCGGCTGGGCCTCGCGCAAGAAGGACTACTGGTCGTTCATTGCCAACATCGCCGACGTCTATCCCGAGTCGCGCAACGCCGTAACCAACGTCCTGCACCTAACAGAAGTCAAGACAAACCAAGGCCGTGGCCGCGCCTGGTTCCGCAACGCCCTCATCGAGGGCAAGCTTGCCGAGTACATGACCGTCCTCCTCGCTGATCCCGAGCTTGTCGACAAATGGTACGAGCCTGAGGCCCTGTTCCAGCACCGCGAAGACGTCGCAGAGGTCATTCTTGTTGTTTCTCAGCTCAACGCTCTCCACTTTTCGCTCTGCGCAAAGGACGTCGACCTCGACAAGACCTGGAAGGCCATCGACCAGTCCGAGGTCCTGCGCGGTGCCCGCGAGCGCGCTGCCTCCCGCGCCACCGTTCCGCCAAGACCGCTGCCAGTGGCGCCCGAGTCAGCAGCCCCAGCCGAGCATGCTGTCGAGCCGGCTGTCGAGCCAACAGCTGAGCACGCCGCTGCTACCAACGCCGTCCTCACCGCCCCAAAGCCGACGCCTTCGCGCCCGCTGCCTTCGCCGCGCGACCTCGACGAGCTTGGTCCGCCGGTTGCCCCGCTCACCTGGCAGTCAATGACGCCGGTCAAGTCCAAGCCGAGCAAGAAAAAGAAGCGGAAGAAGAAGCGGAGCGACGACGATGACGACGACGAGGAGCCCGACGGCGCCGATGAGCTGGACAACAAGTCCGAAGCTGCGCCGGTGCCCGCGGCTACGCCCGCATCTGCACCCGAGCCTGTGGCGTCAGACGCTCATCTTGCCCGCTTGGCTGCGGCAGAAGCCGGCGAGGCCAAGGCCCGCTCGGATCTTGAGCAAGCGCTCGCGGAGCACGCTGATCGCGTCGCTGAGCTCGATGCGCAGCACAAGGCCGAGCTCGAAGCAGCAATGGCGGCAGCGGCGGCAGCAGCTGCCTCTAGCGAAGAGACAGCTGTTCAGCTCAATGCCACCAATGTCCAGCTGACCGCCAAGGCAGATGCGCTGGTCGCAACCGAGTCCGAGCGCGACACCCTCCGGGCCAAGCTTGACACGCTCCGTTTCGAGTCCGAGACAGCAGCCACTGAGGCTGCTGACGCGGTGGCGGCGCTGCAGGCGAGCCTCGACCGGAGCGCCGGTCAACTCGCCGAGTCCGAAGCCGAGCGGTTCCAAGTTCGTGCGCAGCTCACTGCCATGACTGCCGAGCGCGACGCTGCCCGCGCGACGGCTGCAGAGCTGCAGGCCAAGATCGAGGCACAAGCCGAGCTCATGAGCTCGCTCCAGGCGCTTGCCGCCGGCGAGCTTCCGGCGACTGTCGACTCTACCGGCCCTCCTGTCGCCGACGACGGAACTCGGCCCGAGTCGGGCATGTGGGCCATGATTGTCGCCCTGCAATCGGGGCTCAACCACACTCGCAAGGAGCTCGCGGCAGCGCGTGCCGACCTGGCCTCGGCCCGTAACGAGGGCGTCCAGTCATGGCTGGCTGCCCTCGGCAAGCCATTTGTCGAGCTGCAAGCTGCACTCCTTTCCACCCATGACGCGGCGGATGACGACGTTGGAGGCACTGATGGTGCTCCCTGCTCCTGCGGCTGGGAGCGTTGCGCTGACAAGCTACGCGCCGAGCGCAATGAGCTTGAGCGGCGAATGCGAGCAATATCCGAGCTCGGCGAGGAGAACAAAAAGCGCAAGCGGAAGGATCTCGAGCTGCAGGCTGCCGCAGCCGCTGAGCTGCAAGAGACACACGCCGCGACGGTCCAGGAGTGCACCATGCTCCGGCTCTCACTCGAGTCGATGGCAACCAAATTGGAGGCCTCGTCCAACATGCAGGTCCAGCTCCGTGCCGCCAAGCAAATGGCGGATGATGCCGCCAAAGAGATCGGCACCCGGTTGGCGGACACCCTCACCGAGCTCACCGCAGTGCAGACCCAGTACGCGTCGCTGCTGGAGAGCCAGAGCGGGGTGGGTGCAACTGATAGCCTCGCTGGCTCGTCGGCTGCTCTCGAAGCCGTCTCGGAACTTACGAGGAAGAACAATCAGCTCGAGGCAGAGCTTGAAGCTATTCGGTCCGAGAGCGAGGCCAGCGCGCGTGCGCTCGGCGAGACCCGGGCCGACGTTGCCTTGCTGGAAAGCAAGGTGGCAAGCCACGCTGAGACCGAGCGGGCTCTGGCAGCAGCACAGGACGAGCTGGCACTCTCACGGACGTCGGCAGCGCAGTTGCGTGAGCGAATCTCGTCGCTGCAAGCCCGGGTCGAGGCGCGCCAAGACGAGCTGGCGGCCACACGCAAGGCGCTTACCGATGAGCACACCGCGCTGCGGACCGAACTTGAGAGCGTCATTGCGGGCCTGCGGTCCGAGGTTGCTGCATACAAGGACCAACTCTCGTCATACCGCGAGTCGCTCGCCGAGCTAGAGGACTTCCGTGCGCAGGTGGCATCGTCGCAAGAAGTTGTCAACGCTGTCAAGGTCGAAAGCCGCGAGGCGCTGGCGAGGTCGCGCGAGGCGTCGAGCCTCCTCGAGGCTGCGCTGGCCAAGATGGAGGCGCGGGTGGTTGAGCTCGAGGCTGCGTTGACCGCTGAGCGTGAGAAGACGGTGAAGCTGGAGGCTGCGGCCGCCACCGCTCACGAGCGGGCTGCTGCTGAGGCTGCCAACGTCGAGGCAGTCAAAGCTGCTTGTCTCGAGCTCAAGGCACACATCCTCGAGCTCCGCAAGAGCCACGCTGCCGAGTCTACAGGCCTCAAGAGCGAGTTGGCGACTGCGCGCGCTGCTGCTGCCGCCGCCGCAGCTGACAATGCGACCATGGTCGGCAAGCTCGCTGATGCCGAGCGGTCGCTGAGCAAGCTCGCGGTCCGCAAGGCCGCGCTCCTCAACGAGGTCTCTCGGCTGGAGAGTGAGTTGGAGCTGGCAACGGCCGAAGCTGACGATGTCCGGGCGCGTGCGCACCGTGGATGGATGGACAACTCGGAGACCGACGCGTGTGTGTGCGGCGCCAAGTTTACGCTTACCCGGCGGAAGCACCACTGCCGCCACTGTGGGCTCATCTACTGCGCCGAGTGCTCGCCGCACAAGCTCCCGCTGGCGGGGTCGCGGAACCCGGTCCGTGTCTGCACGACGTGCCACACTGCGCTCACCACGCCATCGACCGCCAGTCTGGCCAAGCGCCTTCCGAGCTCCTCTACCGCCATCCGCTGACGACCGCGTCGTAGACCTCGTCCGGTGACGAGAGCTGGCCGTCCCGGAACGCCGCCAGCGCCGCAGCTTTGGCCGCGTGCAGCGCGCTCGCTGCAGCCTTGCGGTCGTCGCCTTGCCCGAGCCCACGCATCACCGCCGTAAACGCACGCCGCGATGCCAGATCAGCTTGGTGCGCGAGGTTGGCGGCAGTTACGGCCGCCGCCGCAGCGGCAGCGGCAGCAGCCTCGGCCTCGGCCGCCGCCCGTCCGTCGACTGTGAGTGGGAGACTCGCCACCGGCGGGCTCGCCAGCCACTCTACCAGCGGAGCGGTCAGCGCCGGATCATCGACGTTGGGATGCATGGGCAGCGTTATCAGGGCGCCATGCGTCTCGGCCGTGGTCGGCGGCTCGAATCGGGCGGCCATGGTGGCGACCACTGCGTCCGGCACCCGAGCAAGACCTGTTCGCGCCGCATTGGCGGCGGCGGCGTCGTCGAGCGTGTCGCCTGCAGCAAGGTACAGGTAACCCAGGCCGAGCACCAGCGCATCGTTGTGGCGCTCGGCGGCCTCGGCCACTCTGCGTGCGACATCGCGGCGCATGGACGCATAGTACGCATTGTCATCAACGATGACGAGCCGCGGTCCGTCGTCGGGGTCGGCTGCGAGCGCCTCCGCCAGAAGACCATCCAGCGCCTCTGCTCTCGCCGCGCGCCAGAGCTCGGGCGCAAAGCCATCGGTACCGCAGCCACCACTGCTGGCATCGGCATCGAGAGCATTGGCGTAGACGGCGTCAACGTCGATAACCACCCCGCCGTGGGCGTCGGCGACAGCCGCCGCCAGCGTCGACTTGCCCACCGCCGGCAGGCCAACCATGCAAAGAACGAGGCGGGTGGGCATTGCCATGGCGGTGAAGAGGAGGTGAGGCGAGGCGAGGCGAGGCGAGGCGAGGCGAGGCGAGGCGAGGCGAGGCGAGTCGGTAGGAGCGAGGCGGCAGCAGCAGTGGCAGGGGCAAGCCAAAGCGGAGGTAGCAGTGGCAGGGGCAAGCCAAAGCGGAGGTGGTGATTTGGCAGGGTCAGGTCGGGCCACTGTGTCCAGGCACTGACTGGCACAGGCGCAGGCACAGGCACTGACTGGCACAGGCGCAGGCACAGGCACAGGCACAGGCTTCCGCCCTCACACCACACCGCACCACACCACACCACACCACACCCTCCTCATCCTTCCATGAAGTGGTCCGTGCTCTCCCGGGAGGCCAAAGTGTTTGTGGGCCTGGTGGCCGTCGAGGCCGTCACCGTCGCCGCCCTCACCGTGCAAGACCTCGTGGCCAACGCGCCGTGGACGGCCGCCAACCGGTTCCACTACGAGTTTGGCATCTTGTTCCTTGTCTGTACCCTGGCAGCGGCGTACTTTGGCATTTCGGGAGCGGTGCGCGAAAATGCGCTTGAGCTGGCCATCTTCTGCTTTGCGCTCCTCCTCGCCGATGTCTACGTCCTCTACGCCATCATCTCGCCGGGCGCCGAGGCCCGCGGTGGCAAGGTCTCGCCGCACTCGCCGGCGGCGTACATCCGCGTTGTGCTCGTTTCGCTCGCCACGATCGCCTCACTTCCGGCATCTTATGTGGTGCATCAGGCCTTTGGCTGGCGGGCGTACAAGACCGTGGGGGCTTCGGTGGAGATGACCACGCTGTACGAGCGGTATGTGCTCCTCATGGGCTCGCTCAAGCTCGACGCGCTCGTCTCGTTCATCACCCTGTACATTGCGGGCATGACGCTGCTCCACGAGCGCGGCCTCATCGCCGACTCCATTGCGCTTGTGGTGACGTGGGCTGGGCTGGCGGCGGCGGCGTACGGCGCGCGGCATGAGTCGCGCAAGGCTGTCGCCGTCTTCTTTGTCATTGCTGTTCTCGAGCCGGCGTACATTGTGTGGAAGCTGGTCGACTACTCGCACCACGAGCAAGAGTACAACTCTCGGATCCGCTACATCCACTCGCTCATGACTATGGGCGTTGTGACTCTCGTTGTTCGTGCTGCCTCGTGCCTCCTCCTCGCACGCACCAGCCTCGGCTTTGGTCGCGGCCTGGACGACGCGCTCGGCCGCGCCGAGCGCTCTCGCGTCGACGAGTCGTCGTCGTTTGGCATCAACGTCTCGGCTTCGGGCACCATCACTGCTTACCCGGGCCTGCCGTCGTAGCCAGCACCTCTTCCACCGACGCCGCGAGCTCGAGGTACCGCTGTCGCTCGTCGTCAAGCTGCTCCTGCAGCCGCGCGCGCGACATGTCGGCAGCGTTGCGCGCGCTCCGTGCGAGCTCGGCCTCGCGGGCCGCATTGGTCGCCGCAGCCTCGGCCGCCACCGCGCGCGCTATCGCGCTGGCCGCAGCCCGCTCAGCGTCAGCTGCCGCCGCCCGCGCGCCCTTTTCCGATGCCTGGCTCTGAAACAGTGCGGTCTCGAGCTCCGACTTGAGTGCGGCTAGCCCGGCGCTGGCCTCGTGCTGTGCAATGAGCTTGTGCTTGAGCGTGCTGCTTGCCTTTTCCAGCCGCTGCAGGCCCTCGCGCATCTCGCCCACCTCGCACTCCAACTCGGACAGCTTGGCCGCTGCTTCAGACTGCTGGCTCGTCAGCGTCTCTATCCGCAGCAGCGCTTCGCCCATCTTGCGCCGCTCGCGCGAGAGTCTGAGTTTGAGTTCAGTGAGCTCGCCGGCGCTGCTGCTGACAGCGGGCATGGCGCTCGAGGCCCGGCCTGCGTCCGCGAGCTCGGCGCCGAGCTTCTGAAGGACGGCCAGCGACGGCAAAGCTGCCTCGACCGCCGCGTTTGCAAGCGCATTGAGCCCGCTCCGCGCCACCAGCGGAGACGCCAACTCGCTCGGCTCGGGCGGCGCGTCGACAAACCGCGGGAGCGGTACGGTGTTCGCCACGGCGATGCCGGCCGCAAACGCTGCTGCCTCGACTGCCTGCTCTGCCTGTGCCTGCAGCTGCTTGGACAGGCCGTCGACCTGGCGCAGCGCATCCTCGACCGCCTGCAGCACGTCGACGTTGTCGTGCTCGCCCTCGCCCTCGCCCTCGCCGTCGCGATCACGATCACGATCGTCGCCCGGCGGCGGCGCGCCCCCCCCCGCGGGGGTGAGCTGTGGAGGCTTGGCGCCCGACGAGACTGGATGCGGGGGGGTAAAGACGTTGGTAGTACGGAGGGCAAGCGGGAGCCGCTGAGGCAGCGGTGCCGGGCGCGCTGGCGGGGACGACAGAGTGCGATGCGAGCTCATGGGAGGAGCGAAAGTCGGGTGGGGCAGGTGGCCGGCGCAGAGGAAAAGGTCGTGAAAGTGGGAGGCGAGGCGGGGGTGGCAGGAGCGCGGCAGGAGAGCACACTTGGCGCAGGCAGCGAGCGAGGAAGCGAGTGAAAATGAAGCTCAAGCGGTTCCTACTGCGGTACTACCCTCCGGGGATCATTCTGGAGTACGAGAAGCACGAGGTGCGGCGGACCAAGTCGCTGGACCTGCTGACCCTAGACGCGGCGACGGAGACCGGGCGGCTTGCCGCGCAGCTTGTGGCGCAGGAGCCGCTGATTTCCGCCTCACGGACGCCGCGGGTGGAGGCGCTGCTGGAGCGGCTCGTGGCGCGGGCCGAGGCTGACAATCAGTTCCGGCCGTACGGCCTGTTCAAGGTCCTGCGGACGCACATCCTCCCGCTGACCAACTGCGAGTTTAACAAGGACGGCTCGCGGGTGGTCTCAGGCTCGTACGACCGGACGGCGCGAGTGTACGATACGGCGGACGGAGCCGAGGTGGCGGTGCTGGAGGGCCACGCCAACGTGGTGTATGCGGTGGCGTACAACAACCCGTACGGCTCGCTCGTCGCCACGGGCTCGTTCGACAAGACGGCCAAGCTCTGGTCACCGGCGACCGGCGAGTGCAAGGCGACGCTAACCGGGCACGAGGCCGAGGTCGTGTGTGTCAAGTTCAATCCATCGTCTACTCTGCTGGCGACTGGGTCGATGGAGGCAGCGGCGCTTGTGTGGGACGTCGAGACCGGAACGCCACTCTTCGAGCTGGCCGACCACGCCGGCGAGGTCTTTGCGCTCTCGTTCAACACCGAGGGCTCACTCATTCTCACAGGCTCATTTGATGGGACGGTCAAGGTGTGGGACGTCCGCGACGGCTCGCTCGTCACCACCTTTGCCGGCCACGCCAAGGAGATCTCGGCATGCTCGTTCAACTACGCATCCGACGCTGTCCTCACCGGCTCCATCGACGGGACCGCGAGGGTATGGGACATGCGTGCGCGCGACTGCCTCGCCACGCTGGGTGGACACACCGGCGAGGTGCTCGACGCGCGATTCTCGCCCTCGGGCGCCGCCATTGCCACGGCCTCGTCCGACGCCACCGTCCGAACCTACGCCGCCGCCACCCTCGAGTGCACCGCCGTCCTCGAGGGCCACTCCAACGAGGTCTCCACGGTCGCTTTCAACCCGGCCGGCAACCGCGTGCTCTCGGCCTCGGCTGACGCCACTGCACGCGTCTGGGACGCCGCTTCGGGCAAGTGCTTGCAGGTCCTCGATGGCCACACCGAGGAGATCTTCTCCACCCAGTTCAACTACTCGGGCTCGACCATCATCACCGCCTCGCAAGACAACACGTGCCGGATCTGGAAGACTGCCGAGTAGCCCGTCGGAGCGAGCAAACGCGCTTCACCCAAACAGCCGCGCCTTGCGGTGCGAGAGCGAGAGATCCATGGTAGCCTTCCACGACTCAAACGAGGCGTCATCGCGGACGTTGAGCAGCTGCTTGTGAACTGGCTCGGGATCTTGGGCCGGGTTGATCGACGCGGACGCGTCTGCCGAGAGCGGGAGGAACCGGAAGGGATAGACCTGATGCGCCTCTGCAGGCGTCCGCTGCGCGTACAGCGCCTCTTTCCGCCGGTAGAGCAAGTACGCCAGCCTGTCGAGCTCCACGATGTTCTGCACGTGCGGGTTGGTCGCATGCGGCGGCGCAGACGTCGACGCCGTCGACCATCCGCCACCAGGCGTCACCGTACCCGACCGAGCCGTGCCCAGCTCGGACCGCGGTGCCACCGAGGGCGTCGGGCCCTCGCTCGCCCGCCCTGTCGCCGATGACGGAATGGGCGGCTTGCGTGCCGACGCCGCCGCCGTTCCAGGTGTCGACCGAGAGGCCATATGCAAGCTCTTGTGGGGGGGGAGGGGGCAAGTGGCGTGTGTTGCGGTGGTGGTGCTGCTGCTGGTGGTGGAGGAGGAGCCAATGTTCGGTGCGTGGTGGCCTCGTGCCGACCGACCGCCCCGACCACCCAACCGGACCACCAAGTGGTCACGTGACAGACACAAGGACCAGGCCGGCTCGGTGATCTGAGTGCTCAGCACCCAGTGCCACTCTTCTTACTCTTCCGACAGATGCCACGTGCCATGCGTGTCGTACCCTCTGCCACCCTCGCCCTCGCCCTCACTCTCGTCGTCGCCCTCGCTCTCGCTGTGGCATCCCCAACCGCTGCTGCACGCCCGTCAACTCCGCCGGTGCTCCCGCCGACGTACTCCGTCGAGATGCATGAGTACCTGCACACCGCGGTGCCAGACAAAGAGTACCGTTGGAACATCTCGTACGCCATCTCGTACGAGCTCGGCTCGGCCCGGCAGATCCACTCGGCCGGACAGTACGACGAGATCTGCTCGTCCATCCCCGGTCACGAGCACACCGGCGAGCGATGCGAGGTCATCATCAACACCGACTACCGCTACGTTTACTTGCCGGACTCGGACATTTGCTGCCAGTGCTGCACCTCTGGCGCACCGCAGTACTGCGGCGTCGTCAAGCCCGACTGGGCCGCCAACGGCACCTATATCGGCGAGGTGCCCATCGACACCGGCGGGCCCTCGCCGACCACATGCTACCAGTACGATGTCCAGGGACATTACGTCAACCACTTTTACGTCACCCCCGAGCTCGCGCCCGACGGCTACGTCACGCCGTGTGAGTTTTGGGAGGCCAAGCCCGGCCACGTCCTCCGCAAGCAGTTTGTCTACCAGCTCGCCACCTACTCTACCGCACCCATCCCTGCCTCGCACTTTGACCTCCCGGACGTGCCCGGCGGCTGCGATCAGCAGTGCCCCGGCATCTGCGAGCATGCCGCGTAAAGCCGCCATCCAACCAGCCTGCCCGTCACCGAGCCTGGCCTCGTCCGCCCGCCGCCGCTCGCCCATCCATCCATCACCGCTCGCTACCACCGTTCCCTTCCCTCCCCCCCCCCACCCCACCCAGCACACACAGACACACATGCTGCACCTTCGCCTTCATGTCCATGCACTCGCGGCAGCGGCGGCGGCGTCACGCGCCCTCGCGTCGCGCGCCGGAGCCCGTCCACGCCTCGCCCGCAAGCCCGTCTCGCGCGCCGCCAAGCGGCGCGCCCTGGCCAAGCTCGTCGCCGCCGACCCAGCCGCCATCACCCCGGCCGCACTCTCGCGGCTCCACGCCCCGCCGGCGCTGCGGGCCAAAGTACGCCAGGCCCGCCGCGAGCGACCGCTCTTTGGCGGGGCAGACGCACCAGCCCCGCCGCCGCCAGCCGCTGCTGCTGCTGCCGCATCGCGCAACGCCCCGTCGTCGTCGTCCCCGCGTCGCACGTTCGCCGACCTAGGCCTGCATCCCGGCCTCGTCGCAGGCGTTGCCGAGATGGGTATCGCCGCTCCGACTGACATCCAGACCTCGGCGCTTCCACATCTGCTCGACGGTAAGTCTGCGCTTGTCGCCGCCCTCACTGGCTCGGGCAAGACCCTCGCCGTCCTTCTCCCGCTCCTTCACGCGCTCAAGGCTGCCGAGGATCCGGCCGCAACCGCCCCTCCCGGGCGTCCGCGCGGCCTTATCATCGTCCCGTCTCGCGAGCTCGCACATCAGACGCTGGGCGTTGTCAAGGCCCTCTCGCACTCGTGCCGCCTCTCGTCGATGGCGCTCACGGGCGGAGTGACGCCGTCCAAGCAGCGCGCCGCCATCAGGGGCATGAAGCGTCCGCTCGATGTGCTCGTCGCCACGCCCGGTCGCCTCGCAGACTCGCTTGCCTCGGGCGCTGTGGCACTCTCCCGCGTTCAGCATGTTTCCTCGACGAGGCCGACACCCTCATCGAGGGCTTTGACCTCGCAGACATTCTTCGCCCGCTCCATCTCCGCGCCACGACTTCGGCTCGTGAGACCCTGCCTCCGCCGCAAGTCGTCCTCGCCACGGCAGGCGTCTCGCCGCCGCTCGCCTCAGGCATCAACTCCTTCCTCGCCCGCTACAAGCTCACCACCATCGCCGGCCCGGGCCTCCACTCGCTCCCGCCCGGCATCGACCTCGAGTTCCTCCGTCCACAAGCCGCTTCGCGCGACAAGGAGGCCCTCCTCGTCGACGTCGTCACCCGCACCCTTGCCTCGCCGCATGCCCGCGCCATGGTCTTCTGCAACACCATCGGCTCCGCCCGCTGGGCTGCACACACCCTTGCTGATGCCGCCATTGCAACTGCCTCGCTCCATGGTGGCGTCAAGCCCAACACCCGTCGCGCCCAGTACGCTGCCTTTCTCGACGGCTCCGCACCTGTCCTAGTTACCACTGACGTCGGCTCGCGTGGCCTTGACATCCCACTCCTCGACGCTGTTGTCAACGCCGACTTTCCGCTCACTCCGCTCGACTTTGTCCACCGCGCCGGCCGCGTCGGCCGTATGCTCTCCGACGTCGCCAAGGCCGCCTTGCCCTCGCCTGCTGCCCGCTCCCGCCGCGGCCGCAAGCAGCGGTCTCCGGGCCGTGTCATCTCGCTCATCGGCTCGGCAAAGGATGCCTCTATGGCCCAGTTTATCCAGCGTGCCGCCGCCGCCGGCGAGCCCCTCGTCGACTTTCCTCACTCGGTCGGCGCGCCCGACTCGTCCGCCTCATCTGCGCTCCTCCGCGACCTCGCCGCCAGATCGGCCCCGCGTCGTCGCTGACACCCGTCCGCTTGCCACCTCGAGTACCACGTCCCAGTTGCTCGCAGCCTCCACGTCCACGTCGTGCGCAATGACAATAACCGTCACTTGCTCGCCAAGCGCCCGCCGCACAACCGCCGCCACATCACTCGATGCTGCGTCTTCAAGCGCCGCCGCAGGCTCGTCGAGCACAACCACCTTGGCCTTCCGCACCAGCGCCCGCGCGATGCACAGCCGCTGCCGGGCACCTCGCCCGAGCGTTCGCCCGCCAACATGTGCGTCAACTGCAACATCTCCCAGCCCCACCGCGTCCAGCGCAGCTCGCACACTTGCTGCACTCGCTCGCCCAGACGCATCCACATTGAAGGCCACGCTTCCGTCAAACAGACCCGGGTCCTGACCCACCAGGCACACTCCCGCGCGCAGCGCAGCCACGTTGCCATCCTGTACACGCAACCCGCCCACAACAACGTCACTCCCGGGCGCAACCTCCAGTCCGCCCACGAGAAGCTTGGCCAGCGACGACTTGCCAGCGCCTGTCCGCCCCACCACGAGCACCCTGTCGCCGGCGGCCAGCTCAAAGCTGGCATCCACAAGCACCGCGTTCGGTCTCCTGGCACCTCGCTCATGTCCGCCATACCACGCGCGCGTCAGCTCCACCGCCACCGAGCCGTCAGCCACTTCCTCGCTCTCATCGTCGATCGACTCGGGTCGCACGTCAGCGTACTCGAGCATCCGCTCCACGCTTACAAACTCCTTCTCGGTCTCGGTGCCCGTGTTGAGCAGGCCGTTGAGCAGGCCCGAGATCGGGAGCGCGTACGAGAGCACTAGCCCCAGCAGCCCCGCCGCTGACGATGGCGAGCTCGTCGCGTCTGGACCTGGTACGTACATGGCCACTCCGATGAGTGCCACGCCGGCAACCACACACGCTCCGAGTGATTGCACGGCCACCGCCAGCCACTGCCCCGCCGCAAGCTCAGTGTACGACGCCGCAAGCCAGACCTCAAGCGCCTTGTTGAGACGCCCAGTAAACTCCGCACATGCCGGTCCACCGGCCGCCCGGAGCGTCGCCGCACCAGCCGACACGTCGTCGATGTGCTCGTACAGCGGCGATCGAGCAACCACCACCAGCCGCTTCAGCTCCCGCGACGACGCCCTATAAACGCGCCCCACTACCGCGTACGCCGCCATCAGAGGCAAAAGCGCAGCGCCAAACAAAGGCACCACAATCAGAATGATCACAAGCGCACCCGCGAGCCCAAATCCGTTCGCAAGAAAGATGTTGAGACTGAATGGGAGCGAGTCGTCGACCGCCCACGCGTCCGACGAGAACCGGTTGAGCAGCCGCCCGACCGGATGGTTGCCAAAGAACGCCAGCGGTGCCCCGAGTACACCGTCAAGCAGCTCGGCGTGCATTCGCTTCGCCGCCACAATCCCGCCGCGTGCAAACAGAAATGCACGCGCAAGCGTTGCTGCAGAGTTCACCACGGCAAGCCCAGCGTAGACGCCAAGGTAAAACGAGAGTGACTGCGCCTCGCCACGGCGCAGCGCCCCCACCCAATACGCCAGCCACCAGTCGGTCACATTGCGCGACGCCTGCATCGCCACCATTGCGCACGTCAATCCCACACAGTTGGTCAGCCCCATCATCCGGCCGTACCGGGTGTAGGTTGACAGCGCCAGAGCTCCTTCGGCGCGAGCTTCTTCCTCGCCGTCCTCACTCGCGTCATCGGCATCGACTAGCTCGGAACCGCTGCCCCTTAATGCGCCAACATCGCTTGTGTCGCTTTGAGTCGGCTGCGTTGTGGCTGCAGACTGGTGGAATACCTCGTCATCGGCGACGAGTGCAACCGTGCCGCTGTCAACACGCCACACAGCTCCAAACAAGGATGCCGGTAGTCGCGCATCCAGCTTGGGCGTCGCCACAACGACAGGCACCCCCGCAGCCGCCAGCAGAGGGAAAACGCTGGCGACAAGGTCAGCGGCCACGCCATCGTCCAGCGCAGCGAGCGGGTCGTCGAGCACGACAAGATCGAGCCTGTGGCGCGCGTACACAATCCGAGCCAGCGCCACCCGCATCCGCTGGCCACCAGAGATCTGGCATCCGCCACGTCCAACGCGCGTCTGCCAACCAAGCGGCATCTCCGCCAGATCTGCGTCGAGGCAGACCGCCGCCGCCGCCTCGGCGAGGCGGCCGGCCACCTCGGGCTCGCCAAACGTCACATTGGAAAGAAGCGTGTCGGCAACCAGGAACGGTGTCTGACTAACCAGGCCAATGCGCAGCGAGCGTTCGCCCGACACGCCCAGTACCTCGGCAAGCAACCGTCCGACGCCCGGACCGCCCGCGATTGGTGTCTGGCCAGTCAGTCCGCTCAGCAGCGTCGACTTGCCGCTCTCGTTCCGTCCCACAACTGCCAGCGCGCCCACGACGCCAGCTTCTCCGATCAGGGCCGGAACCTGGACTCGGAACGCGCCGTCGACCCCGCTCCAGCCAAAAGTCCACCCGCGGGTGTCGACTACGCTCTCGCCGAGGCTGGCCGAGACCGGCAACGGGGCGAGGAACCGCGCGAGTCGCTTGGCTGAAACCCACGCCTCAACAAGGCCGTTGAGGACCCACGGAAAGGCGTTGAGTGGGCCAAGAAGCATGTTGAAGAGCGCAAGTGATGTAAAGACCTTGGTCGGCGTCAGCGTCCGGCCCATCACCAGCGTGTAGGTGCCAAAGGTGAGGATGGAGACAAGGACTGGAGTCACCGCCCAAAAGTAGACACACCAGGCGTCGAGGTACTTGCGCGAGGCAAGGGTGATCATTTCGGTCCGCCGGGCATTTGCAACCCGCCGCGCGAGGTACGGCGCCCAACCCAGGAGCTTGACCGTCTCGATCTCGGCGAGCACAGCCTTGGTGGCAGCAAGGCGCGCGTCTTTGGAGGCCATCATTGCGGCTGAGAGGGCGCCGATCTTAGAAGCAATCCACTTGTTGAGCGGAATGAGGAGAAGGGCAAAGACGAGGCCGGCAGCAGCGGCTTCGCCGACCTGCGAATACAGGAGAGCAAGCGAGACCGCAATCTGGAACGGGAGTGACCACGCGGCGTGGAACGAGGCACCAATGTTGACCACCCGCGACGCGTCAGTCGAGATAAAGTTGTTGAGCTCTCCGGCAGAGTACTGCGCTACCGCCGCCGATGGTGCCGTGAGCACCGTGGCTGACACCATTGCCGTGAGCTGGGCCTGGACGCTCAGCGCCAGTGAGTTCATGGCAAAGGTGTAGTGAATGTTGAGTCCAGCGGCCGCACCGAGCGTGAACACAAGAAGCAATGCCGCGATGTAGCCCTGATTGCGGGCCGACGGAAGACAGTCCCAAGCCTGTCCGCTGCTGCCGCTGCCACTCTCGATGAGTCCAACGATTACGTTGAGCAGTAGAGGCGCGCAAAAGCCGCACACGTCGGCGCCCAGCTTGAAGCCGCCGAGCGGAAAGTAGCGCCAGCCATAGACGCTCGCCAGTGCCCAGACCAAACCGCGGCCGCGAGCAAGCACAGCCCGCAGCGCGCGCTGATCATCGGCGCTCGGTTGGAGTTGTTGCGGAGGAGCGAGCAAGTCTTCGCGGCCGAGCTGGCGTGAGGCACCAGCCCGGATGAGCGGTGTGACCCAGGAAAAACAGAGGCCTGCCAGTCGCGATTGCCGTCGTGAAGCACTCGTCGTGTTGTCATCCCGAGCGCGCACCAGCAGCGGCGTCGCCTCGTTGATGTTGACCCGCCCCAGCGCCGGTTGGCTCGACGAATGAGGCAGATGAGACGCTGGACGCGCGCGAACCAGCTCCCACAGCCCAGCCACCGCAACCGCGGCGCCGGTACCGGCCAGCGATCCCGCCAGCGCGCGGCGGCGCGCAAGAACGTGCTGTAACGGTGACCCTGGTAGCCAAGGAGCAACAACCCAGATCCAGCCGCCTGTAACTACAGGCAGCGCCATAGCTATCGCCGCCACCCACGCCTCAGGAGCAAGGACGGCAGACGCTGCTGCTGCCGCCAGCGCCACAACAATGATCGGCGATGGGGTATCGGTAGCAAGCGCCGCGGCGGAGGCGGCAAGGGCGGCTAGTGAAGCGCGATGGAGCCACATGGCAGGCGGAAAGCGGCGGCGGGCGGCGAGAGCAGCCGCCGTCGCCATCGCACACGCCGCCGCTGTCAGAGCAAGGCCAGCAGCCAGCGCAGCTGTGGCCAGGCAGGGCGCCGGGACAATGCGCGGGGAGGCCCACCATGCTGGAGCGGGGCATGTGTCATGCACGGCGAGGAGGGCGAGTAGTGCTGAGCATGGCCGTGTCATGGTGAGCACCCAAAAGCCAGAGGGTTGGGCTTTGAGCGAGAGGTGGGCGTGGGGGTGGGCGTGTGTGGGTGGGGGTGGGGGACACTCGACTGCCAGTCACGGGAAGGAATGGTAAGGATAGAGGGGAGGGTTAGGAGGGGGGGAGGGGGGGGGGGGGGGGGGGGGGGGGAGGGGGGAGGGGGAGGGGGAGGGGGAGGGGGACGGGGAGGGGAGGGGGACGGGACGACGGACGGGTACGGGTACGGGGTCCGGGTACCGGGTACCGG